TGTGGGAGAAGAAGGTGTAGAAGTGGGAGTAGAGACGGGATTTCAAGGGGAAGTGAAAGGGAAGGAGGGCGGAGAGGCCTGTTGTCACTGCCCCTTTATCAGCTGATATATATGCATGAGGATTTCCTCATCATCTCCACTGTCAATTCCCCGTCCCTCTGATATTTGACTGACAGCCTCACATCAACACCAATAAACCCGCACATCATTTCAGGAATGCTGCCCATCGCGCCGGATGGAGGGTGGAAACGGGAGAGGCGGGAAGTTAATTTGTTTTTCCGGCGGCTGCCGTAGGTGATAGCGGCCGTGTCTGTTTGCCTCCATGGCGAAGTTGTAAATTAGAATTATGCCTCGATAGACGGTAGGGAGACTGCTACGAGAAAGCTCATTTTCGAAGACTGGAAAAAAAGACTTGGCAGCTTCTTATATTTGTATATTTGGAGCAGCAGGGAGCAAATTGTGCAAGACTGTGAATTATGAAGAATTTAAGAAATAGCTGTCATTTTTAAGACTACATCCCCTGTGTGAAGGCCGATTCATTGCTTAGTGTTAAAGGGGCCGTATTATGTTCACTTTCAGGTTCATATTTGTATGTTGTGCGTCTACTGGGACATGTTTACATGCTTTAATGGTCACTTTTCAGGGTTTTACTTACATAAAAGATTGTAATAAAAAGCTTTAGAGCCATAAAGCACTGCCTCGAATCAAACTGAGAAAACACAAAGAACATCTAATTGCAGACGATAAGATACATTAACCCTCCGTGGGATTTGCATGATTGCTGTCTCCATTCCATCATTCTAACCTCTGGCAAACACACACATGTAACACGACCACAATCTGCCAGGCTTTACCGTCCCTCCCATGGAAACATGTATTCAAGTCGGCTGTGATTAGCAGGCCTCGTCGGCGCGCTCCATACGTGTCAAGTGATGCAAAGGAAGTGATTTGTGGTCGAGCATATATTATTCATGGTAAAGATAAAGAGATGAATAGAGATGAAGTGAAAGCGAGCCATAATGCTTATCCACAGGAGGAAGGTTTGTCCTGTGTGCAAAATGTATAGCCTTATGCATATTTTACTAAAGAGAATACTAGCATTAATAAACACTCTCTTGAAGCTAACAGCCCTTAAATGCCAGATGAGATGCTGGATCAAAGAAATCTACCTGCAGTGCATTAGCCATAGCCAGGATTAGGTAATGCTCCTCCAGTTCACCCCCATCGCGGCTTAGAGTCACCGCTGACACACCCACACAAACATGTCAGGGATTTTGGGATGCCAAAACACTTTTGACAACCAGGGAGCGTTCAAATAGTTGTCTACACCTATCCTTCCTTTCTTTTCCTTTCCTTTGCTTGCTCTTCCTATGCATTTAAATGTATGCAGGTGCTTAAGACCACCAGAAGACACCAGTTACCACGTTGATGTTTTCCTCTGGCGCACAGGAAACCACATGCAAAAGGAAAACTGGCACCGTTGATGTTGGAAAGAAAGGAACTATAAGATGGAAACCAATAATAATAACTGGGGCCATGATAAAAGATGTTTGAGTTATCTAGATATAAGAAAAGGTGCTTCATTGCTTGCATCCTTAACCGAAGCGTCATTTAAAGCAACAATCCATTCGGCCGCTGCAAATGTCAGCGATGGATAAATTGAAAACATCCTTCTTAGTAGATGTGATTGTGTTTTGGACAGACAATCTGTACAGTACTGGGTGTGTCCCTACACTTTTATATGTGCTATAAATAAAGTCATTTCTTAAGTCTTTCCTTGATGTTTTCCAACAAACATGGTTAGTAAAAGAATTGGGACGCAGCCTAAAAGAGAAAAAGGAGCTCAAGGAGAGGGACTGAGTGTTGCAAAAATGACAGCAGTAATCCATCAGAAATCAGGCTTTGCTTCTGTCGAGCACAGCCCACCACTGACTACCTTTCAACCCGGCGCATCCTGCTGCGCCGCGATAGGACGAGAGCGGAACGGACGCCGCTAATTGGCTTGCATCCCTGTCGGATTTCCACATCCAGACAGAGGGAGAGAGAGTGGGGGGGAGAGGATATATATCATGTTGTGTGAGGATTTGTAAACAGAGGATCAAAACACCCAGCTTTTCATGTCCTTTGAATTGTCGGAGGGGCGGTGCCGCGCTGTGAGCCCAGAGCGACAGCCGAACATTGATCCTGAGTGAGTGACGCGACAGCGGGACAGACGGGACCTGTCAGGACCCAGGAGGCCTGGTGGGGTGGCGGAGCAGTGACACACACAGGGACTGTTCACACACTCAAGATGCACAGAATAAACAACTGGATGTCACTTGGGAGCACTTGATAACAAGAGGATGTTAGTCACAAGTCCTTCAAACACTGACCTCCTGATGTTGAAGCCATAATATGTATGATCCGGACACAAAAACAACCTTATAAGCTAGAATGAATGCCACTGAAGTATGGTGGTTGAGAGTACTTTACTCTGAGATAATAATATCTTTGGCAGAGGTTTTATTGAAATGAGATATCCTTGTTTGATAAAGACATGTGAAACCTCTGACCAGGTTTCCCTCTTTGTTCAGCGGGAGTGTGCGGATGTGAGAGTGCAGAGCTCCAGTGTTAGTCTTTCTGCGGTCTGTCAGTGGCGCAGCCCCCGAGGCTACGTTACAGGGCTTCACCGCTGTCTGCTGAATACAGACAAGACAGGCAGTCCCCCCTCTCTGAGGAAGGTCTGAAGGGCACCGCCGTTTGTCTCGGCTCGTTTGGAGAATCGGGGGAAACGGGGACTTTAAACGTGGTGATGTGAAGGAGAGGGAAACATCTGAGGGCATCTCACTGCACGTGCAGGGTGAGAAACCTGCAAATTGTAGGATTTCAATCATATCACGAGATTTTCATCAGCCTAATTATCCTGGAACAAGGACTTACATGTTGAACCATCTAAAAGATGCTTATGCTTTTTGGGGTTTCCCTTTCTCTGTTTAATATACATAGGAGAGAACAGTATGGGTGTGAGGATCTTTGACCTTTGCTTACATACAAATAAGTCCCTTCATGATGCCAGCAGATGTAACAAATTGTAAATCAATTAAAAACTTGACTGTATGTAAAAAAAATGACCAAATAAAAAGGATCACAGATGGATTTAGCAAAACACAAATGTTTCCACAGCAAATGTGATCTCCAGAGGTCACCTCACACCCAGCTGTTTGCAGTACACTGCCGCCAAAATCAACTCGCTCTTCAAATACTGCCGCGACTAAACTAAATATTTACGTCCGCTGAAAGGACGGGGCTGATTTCCAGCGTGTTGTTGTGCGAGCTGCCGTTACACACACTTCCATTGCAGAGGTAAATTGAGGTCATATGTTTATAATTTGCCCTTTTCCTAATGCTGCCATTGGAGTAAAATAACATTTGAGAGCAGCAATTAGATTGAACCGCGCAATACTCCGTCTAATTAAGTCATATTTCAAGTTCAATAACGATCAAGCCGGCCAGATAAAGGCCAGGGAGAGAGAGGGGAGAGTGTGTGGAGCAACAATCTGCAAGCATTTTATACAAGACTGCTATTGTTTAGTCAGGAAAGCACTCAGACGCTGAGCTGGAGTGAGCAGTGGGCTGCTGAGGAGTGTTTCTGACTTTTGGTGCCAATTCACGAGGATGACTGTGCAAACAGGGAAAGGAGAAGGTGTGTGTTTACATGCATAGGCCTGCAAGAAGGTTTTAAATAATAATATCCAGGGCATTTTCACCAAACAACTCTCCTAGAACTAGGAGAAATGCTGCATTATTCAGACATGCTTTAGGGGCATCCAACATGTTCAACTTTTTGGATGTAAAAACTGTCACTGTGTGGCCAACTATCTCTATTTCCATCACAATTGGGTTTACAGTGAGGGCATTTTAATGACTGTGCTGTTACAATGTGCTATGTATAAAATGACTTGTGAAATAAGAGAAGACCCAAAGAGGGAGACTCATAAAGAAAGAGACTGAGGGTTAAACGTAGGAAATGTTTGTGGAGTATAGATGCAGAGATTACCTTCTAAACATATAAACACAATCTGTCACACAGCTAGCAGTCTCAGCTCCTACAAATTCTGCTGCGGAGAAGCAGCAGGAGCTCAATCTGTGACTATTTACGATACACAGAGTACTTTTTATTGGGGAAATGACGCGCAACACACTCACCTGTGTGTCCTTCACTTTGCCCTTCTCCTGCCTGTCCTACTCTGCACTACCTAACCATGTGAACATCTCTTCCATTACCGCCCTTGACACTGAGGCCGATTGGATTCTTATCTGCCATCGGTAGGCCGACGCTCAGCCTGCGCTATCTCTCGCAGCAGCCTAATTGAATCTCAAGTGTTGGGAGTGCAGTGATACACTGACCACACCGTGTCACTGCCAACAGATAAGGCTGGCTGCTGGAGGATTGGACCCCCGCAATCACGATGGGGACGCGTTGATAAAGCGGTGACAAGCTGCTCGGGTTGGTCCGGTGTCGCTGGGACTTTGCTTGGATCGAGAGATAATGGATACCCTCCATTACGGCGAAGGTTGTGTTCATACCCAATAGTCACAAATCCCATAATCCTTCTAGGCTCGGTGGGTAATTTGTTGAAACAGAACCAGGGGAAAGTAGGGCAGCTTTTTTTCATCGATATCTGTATACAATCTACCGTTTACAGGACTCATTGTATTTCTTGTATGACCCTGAACCTGCAGATTGTTTAGTTTGAACACAAAAACAAAAGTAATCACGTTTGTTGTTGATGCTCCAGGAGGACCTTGGTGTTTTTTGAGTTAGTGATGAAGACAAGCCTCATTACCTGCTCCGTTTGAGCTCCCATTTTTCTTGTTAAGCAGGTGACCTTTTCAATTTAGAGCAATGGAGGCGCCGTCATGGCAGACTTTGGAGATGCTTAATTTATCACCGACTAAACAAAGAGTCACCTTGATGGAAGAAACTTTAAACTACAGAACGTATTTAAAGATGTTCCTACCTTAGGAGGGCAAATCCTTTCTTTTTGGTCTTCTTCTCCGGATCATCCACAGACTCCTTCTTCGGTTTGCTCTTTTTCTCCTTCTTCTTCCCTTTAGTTTTCTTCTTCTTCTTTCCGTCGTCTACGTCCAGGCGAGTGGAGCTGCTGACGAGAGTTTCTTGATCGGAGCTCTGCTCGGAGCCGTCATCGTCTGAGGAAGTGTGAAGGGCAGAGATGGCAGTATACTGTATGTGTGCAGCATGCATGTACGTTTCACTGTACTGTGAGGAATCTGACCAGTAAGCTAGTTAGTCCTCTATACTCCCAGTGCAGGGAGGAGGCCAGAGGAAAGGCTCTACACCTGGAGCAGTCATTTTCACTTGCCTTAAGTTACATTTGGCATCTATTTGCAAAATCCAAGCCAAGAACAGCATAAGTGGTTCTGTTTTATAGTTTAATGTTTCATTCAAAGTGTCAGAACACCTGCTAAGGACAGATATGTAACTTGTTTAATTGTCATTCCCTGCCAAATGTTGTCAAAGTCAGACTTGTGCAGGCAAACAAATGCAGACAGGTCCTTTTTCCATTACAAAAGTCTGTCAGTTTTAGCTCACACATAGTATCATTTCCTCAGTAATCACATAGAAGTCGAACACACAGATGTGTTTGACGTCTTTTGTGATTACTGAGGTAGAGCCTTACAAGAATTATGCTGCTGTATAATATTAAGTTCCAAAATTGCTGAGTGGATAAAATCATCTAGCATTTCATTAAGGCTAAGCACCGTCCCTTGGCAGGCCTCTGGCTCTTCTTGAGCGCCAGTGTGTTAAAAAGCCTGAGGGATGTGCCTTGGCAGTGTAGGGTCTAATTAAAAAAGGGATAGGAAATAGTCTCAAACATTTCAAAGGAACACTCTCTAAAGTTTTGTCTTGTTGTAAAGTCTTACCATCCTCAGAGGGTCCGTCGTAGGACTTGTCGATGGCGAAGCGAAAGCTCTGGTTGGCGCCCCGGACCGTGTGGGGCCCCGGGCGGTGGAAGGGCTGCTGGGCGTGGCTGCGGCTCTGCTCCCTCACCGCCGTCTGAAGGCTCTCCAGGGAGCTGGACTTCCAGAGGCCGAGGGTGGGACCCAGCGCTGCTCCAGCTGAAGGCTCTGAGACGCAGAAAGAGAGACAAGAGAGGGCGGGGGGGGGCAGTATGAGTTAGTGACTCTGGGTCTGGATATCTCAAGCTTTTCAGCTACGTTTCCCACACACACACATTCATTAATATTTTAAATAATTTATTAAATATATTGATATCTTGCAGTCACCCGGCTTTCAAGATCACCTAAGTGTAACCTGACCTTTTTGGAATGAGGCTTTAAAAAGGTTCAAACTCAGAATATGAAGCTATGAAGGTAGCAGAAAGCAGATGTGAGAGGTTGGAAGCAGGCTTGACAGAAAGAGTCCTATAGGAGCGACATAAAGGAGGTGGAGTGGTACAGGCACAGGTGAACAGACAGGCTCATGCTTAACCAAGAGAGAGGGGGAATAAATGATCTGCCACCATACAGAACTCAGGAATGGCCTCCAAATCGGGAGAGCAAGAAAGGGGAGACGGAGGAGCAGAAAGGCCCCGCTGACTCAGCAGGGGGAGGAGGGAAGATTCGAGGAAAATCCAGAGCTGTAGGAAAAACTGAGACAATTCGAGAAAGAAGTGAATGTCATGTAAGGTGTGAGGAATTGGTAACCAAGAGATGTGGATGGAAAACCCAGAACAAACCATGTATAACAAAGAAACGGTGACTTTTCAGATCAGTTACAGACACAGAACTTTCCTGTAGGGATGACTTTCTCGCATCATGGCACTCGCTGCTTAAGACATCATTTTAAAGGCTTCAAAGCTCGGAAGTAGAGCAGGAAAAAAGTGAAGCGGCAAAAGAGGAAGGGGGGCAGAGTAAGCGGCTGCCTTTTAAGTCCTAAATTGACTTTCTGAGAGGAAGTGGGATTTATAGGGAATAAGGGGTTATAAATAGAGAGGGGGTAGCGCTCAGGAATAAAACGCTCAATTTGAGAGGCAGGATTTGTGTCACAAATGTAATTACGGCTGTCCGGCTCGCAGCCTGATAGAATTAAGCTCCTTGCCAGCGCACTGCTGCACTATACACAGAGAAACTGTGTGTGTCTGAGAGCGTGGGCACATGTGTGTGTGTGTGTGTTGAGCATTTTTGGTCCAATGAAAAAAAAAAAGTCATGATACTGCCTGTGTGAGATAGTGGTTTGTGTCCTTGACGATGAAACAGGAAGTAATATGATCACTTTTGCTAGTTTGTGTGTGTGAGGCTTTGGGTGCACTCTCTCCATGCATGTCAGGCGGTGGGTGGAGGCTGGAGGTAAATGAATAATGAGGGTTTAATAGGATGGATGAGCGGGGGAGAGGTGGCCATCATCGCCAGCTCGATCCAATGGAGGGTGAAATCAGCGTTTATCACATATCGGCGCCCACTGTGCCAGCAGATGCTCTCGTGGATCCGTTCGCATCACGTCCGCCTGATTGCCACTGATTCAAGCTGGTGCACATATTTGACAAACAGCCTAACAGCCAAACAGGGCGATGCCCTTCACAGCTGTAATGCTCCTCCACCCTCCTCACTTCTGTTTGTTGATCAAAGTCCGAGGACTTATTCTGGGCGTCACGATTTCAGAAGGACAAGGCTCGGAGTAATTTGAAGGCTTGAGTGGCGATGGAAAATATCTGATACAAAGTTAAGTTCATGCATGAGTTAATATAAACTCCTTTGGTGGGAACTTTGTGATTTCAGCCTTAGCAGACCATCTACATGCACAACAACCTTTATAACACAGGACAGGACAAAAAACTAAAAGCAGAATAGGGTCTCTTTAAAAGGAAAACATCAAACGATAATCAACATTTTTGTTACTATAAAACAATACTTTTTAACTTTTGATAGATGTGTGGCTTCTGTGAAATCTGTAGTAAGACTTCCTTAATGCTGAAAATGTTTTTCTGAAAACAATGAACATGCCAATTACCGCTTTAAATGGCGTTTGCATTTCACACTAAACGCCCACTCAGAAGCCCACCCTGTAGCTGTATGCACAACAATGGGCACATGCCAACATCCAGCTGCACACACACACCTCTCAACATGCTGTGTACAGTACATTGTTCCTTTAGTGAAGGCTGAGCAGTGAAGTGTTTGCCTGGAACGTAGCCTTGGGCTCCTGCTGTGCTGACAGCGCTGCAGGATGAACACCGCTCTATTTTCTATTCTTTAAAGGTGTCACCTTAAAAGTGAGAGTGAGACACAGCTGCAACCTGTGAGGGGCAACAAACTCATTCTCTCCTATTGTTTCATGGGTTAAAAATAAATCAATAATGATATTCTGTGTGAATAGTTTTCTCACCACTTGCGAACCAAAATTGCCTGCACACAACTTCAATTATCTCAACCAATGAACGAACACAAGGATAAAGACAAATCAGGCTTAGTCATACCGACCATTTCTGAAGTATTCATACATCAATCAGATGTATGCACACATACTGTACACATGTGTCTCCACACACAAACACACACTGCAGAGCCCTAAATACTACACCAAAGGGCTGCAGGGCTTTTTGATTATACTTTTAAATAGTTGTTTTTTCTATTAAATATGAATAACGCTAATTTTCGAATGTCTTGTCCATAACTCAAATATAATCAGAGAGGAGAAAATAAAACTACAAAAGATTCTCATTTAAGAGTCTAGAATCTTTTTCCATAAAAGTGCACAAAAAACGAATAAAAATGTTATGGGGACTTCTTTTTAGAAAACTAAATCAATTCTACTGCATCTCTCATATCCAATCAACTTGTCTTATTTTATTAATTAGAATGGTCATTGTTGCAGCAGTCAAAAAACACACACACCCACCCCAATTTAAACCCTGTGCACACAGTGTCTCAGCGGGTTCTTAACACTTGCCCATCAACTGGACTACAATGTGCTCCACAGCGAGCAGCGCTGCAGCACACTGGCTGAAAGGTTGCCACGGTTACAAGAAAGTGCCCCCTCCATCAACACCGCTGGAGGGGGGGGGGGGGTGGTGGTACAGAGGTGACGATGAGTTGCCAAGGAGACACTTTAGCTAACAGTGAAAAACACACACACACACACACACACACACACACACACACACACACACACACACACACACACACACACACACACACACACACACACACACACACACACACACACACACACACACACACACACACACACACACACACACACACACACACACACACACACACACACACACACACACACACACACACACACACACACACCACACACACACACACACACACACACACACACACACACACACACACACACACACACACACACACACACACACACACACACACACACACACACACACACACACACACACACACACACACACACACACACACACACACACACACACACACACACACACACACACACACACACACACACACACACCACATCTTGCACATCCAATCTCAGGACAGGCAAATAAAACATTGTGTAAAACAGGCACCGACCTGCAGCCTTCTATAAAAACCCATGTCACACACACACACCTGTAAAACAAAGCCTGCTTTAAGTGTGGCCCTGTTCCTCAGAGGTTACTGAATCTAATCCAATAGAAGCGTTAAACACACCGTTACCAGACGAGAACGGCCCCTTCCTCTGTTACACCGTTTCCATAAAAGCTCAAGAGGAGCCTTACACATGTTGAATTACAATAGCCATTAACAAATCTCATCTCAATGAATGTTTATGAATGGATTTAAGTCCTTTTTTAACTACACGGAGAAATGCACAAAGCACATAAAGATCTCTCATGTGGCCGACCCTCTTGGCTTCACCTTAGATTAAATGTACTGAATACGGGCTTTTGAAGATTTACTGCAGCCAACCTCTCTGATGACATATTTGACGTCTGTGGAGTAAAAACGCACAAGTGGCATGACGCATATGGAGGCATTATTCAAGTTTTCAAATGGTTTCTACGGAAGATACGCAGGTACTTTAAAAAGGGTAAAAGTCCTTAAAAATAGGAATAATGTAGACTATTGTCAGTTTTGTCCTTTAAACAGTTAATAATGTTTCGTCACAGCGGTGGAAAACAGAACGCCATTACTGCTTCAAATGTCTTCCCATCATACGACAAACTTCACTCCAAACTAAATCACTTCCGACCACTGTTCATCCGGTCAAAGCAAATCCAATCCATGTTATAGCCAATCAAAACTCCACTCCAATTAAAGAGCTGTCCGATCATTAGGCATCCCTGCGTCTCTGTCTGACTGCACTCAGCTGCATCAGAGGCTGGGTGGAGGCGCTGCTCTGCCAGTAATTGGGTTTAGCTGTTTGGATGTATGAGAGAGGGGGGACATATGGGCCGTATGTATCCAGCCTGCGAGTAGATGAATGGCTTTAATAACTGGAGGGGACTTAAAAGGCCATTTCATAATTACTGCTTACCTCTGCTGGATCACCGCAGCGCAGGGGGCTGGCAGGGTATGGATGGGGGCTGGAGCGCGCTGTGTGGAGCGGGACATGTGCCATTTGTACTGTAAACGTGCAGCAGTGGGCAATCAGGGGGAACTGCTGAGTCTAACATTGAAAATACCTGGTTCAAAACTGACTTTTGGATCACTTACTTGCACCAAATATGCAGAATTTTAGACCTGATATGACAGGGGAACACGAAAAAATAAGCCTTAATAGAGTCATGGGCAATTAGACGGGATCCAAAAAAGTGGTAGCCTCGAACACACCCCAATACAGAGAGAACAGGCAGAGTTAATGAGCAGCTACAGTCAGAGAGAGCAGCACCCTGTGTCACTTCCATAACTTCACACACTGCACCTTGTTGCCTAGAGGTCTCAGGTGACAATGTGAAACAAAGCAGACTTGGCTCAGAAAAGGGAAGGCAAGCTAAGGAGGCAGAGTTACACGGGCACACAAACAAAGCGTGTGAAAACAAAACAGAGGCTTCAGAGCTGGCAGGGAGCCGGCTGGTTCTTAAGTCTCATTGTGCAGAGAGAGAAACAACGGAAGAGGCAGTGCAAACGATCATCAGAAAACACACGTCTTAACACAAGGCTGCAATGCTTATGTGTGTGTAACGTGTGTGTGTGTCCCAGGTGTGTTGTAAGAGGGCACTAGCTAGCAGGGGAATTGTTAGACTCTAAGGGAGAAAAATGAGGGGATGAATGAAGGCATATCCGTCCATTACTCCTCTGGTGATCTCACACACGTTCACAAAATACACTAAAAGGGGGATTTTCTCGTAGAGGAAACACCCGAGACTGGAGCATGTTCAGCATAATCACATGAGGCTGGAACAGCAGCGGAGGATTGGAAGAGAGAATAACAAAAAAGGATGAGCCCGTTGAGATAGAGAAGGAGACGGAGAGAATAATCAAGACAGAAGCGACCAGGAAGATGAAAGGCAAAAAAAGGGAAAATTGACAATGGAGACTCCTAAGACTGGAGAATGATGGGAAAGAGAGAGGGGGGACAGCGTGAGCAAGTGATGGAGCTGGAGGGAAGTGGAGCGCTCCTCGCAGCCAGAGAGAAAAAGGGTTTTAGCCAGATTAAAGAAGCCAGGCAGGCCTCTTAAGACCATCCGCCTAATGAAATATGTCAAAGCCCATAAAGAAACTGAGGCCATTTAGGGAGGAGGGTGGGGCGAATGCACTGCGTCAGCAAAAATGAAAAACACGCAAAAGCCCCGTCGATACACATTAGCCAAGACGTCAAAGGGGGAGATGAATAAGAAAAAGGGAACGCTGTATATCAAAAGGGTTACGGGCGCTGATCAGAAATGCCAGGAAAATCAGGGCAAGGAGGGAGGAGAAGGAGGAGGAGGGGGAGGAGGAGGAGAAGCCACTTGTGTGAGCGCTGAGTGGGGGGGATTTGAGGTCACCAACAGTGCTCGGGTTATTTGTATTCCGCAGGCAACCGGCTTAGTTGGCTTGTTGCAGGTGGATTTAAGAGATCGGTGTACGTGTGTGTGTGTGTGTGTGTGTGTGTGTGTGTGTGTGTGTGTGTGCCTGTCTTCCAACATCAGGACTGAAATGCTAGTCATGATTCCCCTCCTCTTATATAAGCCTCGTTGCAGTGTCTATATATACAGCGGCTGCTCTAAATGAGACGCTGCCGAACTCCACAATTAAAATCTTCTGCAGTCCGACTGAGCATGCTCGCTCTCTCCAGCAACACTCAGATGTATAATCAGGCTCAGAACAATCACACTGTGCCACTGAGGAAAGATGGAGCAACTTCTATGTGACTCAGTGGGAAGTCATGGTGGCCTTACCTGCTCCTATCACAGCACAAACTGCTCCGACATGCAGCCGCGGTGCTTTCAAAAACAATATGGATTTAGGGCATTTGCTAAGACATGTTTCTTAGTTTGGTGTTTGTTTATATTGTATGGGACAAATAGTCTTTTAAACAATGTAAAGACATAACAAGTCAATCGATAAAGTGTAAAACAATACTGTAAAACAACGACTTTGCTTCACTCTTTTGGCTGTAGAAATGAGACGGATATGTAATATTGCCTTCAGATTTGCTCCATCTCCTTTAGTCAGAAATGTAAAGTGCTTCCATTGTTGGGAGTGAATCATATATATCCTTTGAACCACTACTGTGAAATGCCTCAGTAAAAGCAAACTATACTTTATATTGTACCTTTAACTAGACTTTTCTCATATAAAACAAGAAAGGTGGTGGAGTAACTGGAGCAGATTGTGATGCTATACGGCGGCTGTCAGCTGGGCGAGGATTGAGCGCTGTGGGCCTGCTGACCTGGACGGCTATAAAGCAGCGAGAGCTCCGACACTAAGTGCTTCACAACTCAACTTTGTCAGCCGGGTGCGGAGGGAGGGAGGAAGAGGGGGCAAAATGGGAGAAAGGAATCAAGAAAATGCATAAGAATAGAGGAGGACAAAATGGGACTTATTTAAGTGTGTAAGAAAAAGAGAAAAGTCTCAGATTGGAGCAAAAGAGGTATGCATGTTTTTAAAATAAAAAACGTACCGTTCCTCTGCCCCATTGATCCCATGTTGCTCTCATCCGCCACTGAAAACAGACAACAACACCGTTAATAACCCATAATAGTGCCTGCTACACATACTTTAATATGGAGCAGCTTTGTGTTCAGTGTAAATGGTTATAATGCGGGTTGCTCCCTGCAGAAGAAGAATCAGACGGAGAGTCAAAATGAGACCGACAGAAAAAGGAAATTAAACCAGAAGAAAACCACAAAGAAAGAGTGATGATATTGTGCTCGTGAGAGAAAATGAGAACAGATAGAGGTGAGGGAATGAGAGAAATAATATAGGGGGGACAAGAAGAAACCCCCCCACCTCCACCTAATCTAACTAAACAGGACTGGGACGCGCCGCCACAGGCTGGGATACAATAACAGGTTTTCATTACGCTGCTTTTTCTCTTAAAGAATCCTTTTCATTTTTTTATGAGGTCAATTTCCCCGGCGGGATAGAGAGAAATGAGAGGAAGGGAGTTATGGAGGGACGGAGGAGTACGAGAAAACAAGGATTGATAGATGGACGCGATAAGGTGTCCGGACATCAAAAGAGCTTGCTAAATAAAATCCTGCACAGAAACATCTGTAGCTACCAAGACAAAGAAATACTTTCCCTGTGCACACGAGCAAGATAAATGAACGTTTGGAGAAGAAAAGCTATTCCAGGCGATATGGACCAGCCCGATAATGAAAAGCTAACTTTTCTGTCGAGGAAAGATAGAAGCTTTGTCTCAAAATGTAGAAAAACCTTATAGTGTTATATATATGCACTATACCTGATAACTGTATCCTGGAAGTGAGTTCAATGAAAGTCTTAATGCGCTTCGGAGGCTGGTGGACTATCAGGGCTAAACTCCATTTGCTCTTTTATGGATCCATACTGTCCCTCTATTACACAAACAATAACCTGTAACACTGCTGGGGAGATTGTTTTTTTATTATACGCCATATTGGAGCATCATGGTCTGCCAGTTAAGAAATACAAAGCATTAAGAGATGCAGACTTCTCGAGCTGTTACTCAATGAAATTTGTTTTGTGTTAAAAGCCCTTTATGTTCATTTTCGGGTTCGTATTTGTATTTTGTTCATCGACTGTGACATGCTTTAATGTTCAAAAAGATCCCTATCCTAAAAGCTCAGATGTTGCAATGCACTTTGAGCATCTTAAAGCCAATATAGGCAGACCATTTCCCATAACAGACCGTCGCTTTGTCGTCTAATAAATGCATTAGTTCCCATTATTGCTAGTCCAAATCGTATTTGTTTTACTAAGTCAAAAGTAAGAGAGCAGAAACATGTTTTCCGTTTGCTTCCAGGCACTGGTGGTTCAGCTGTAGAATCAGTGACTCGACTGTTCACCTCTGCATCAGCAGGCGGTGTGTGTGTGTGTCTGTGTGTGTGCGAGTGGAAGCCCTGAGTCAACAGACTATTTGCTAAGGCATCCAGGGTTAATAAAGGAAGCTCACCTCGTTCTGTCAAGTGGCGTTTAATAAAAGCTAACCTGCACTGCGGCTGAAGCTCAGATACAAGCAGGCGTAGAGACTGACATGTGGGAAACCCTCCAGAGGAAGGAGAAGAAAAAGCTCTTTAAATATAAAACGTGTAGACAGGGTCAGCATCTCAGGGCTCCTATGTGATCCTGTCATCTTTACACACACATACACACACACATACTGCTTACTAGCCATGTACTTTGGACAGGGAAGAGATGGACAGAAGCAGGGCGATAACACAGAAACAGATTGAAATGGAGGACGGCCAGAGATGGAGATAGAAGCCAGAGAGGGGAGGCAGATAGGGCTGCTTATTGGAATGGCTCCTCAGTGGGATGGAGGGAGTGTGTGTGTGTGTGTGCGGACCACCCTTGTCCATAATGAAAGCCAATCAGCTTGGGTGGCAGAGGCGTGTGCTGCAGGAAGAAAGCCAATCCACTGAACCTAATGAACCGCGATTGGAAATCAGAGAGAGGCAGAGAAGAAGAAGAAGAAAGTGCTGAAGGAGATAAACAAAGATGGAGGGAACGCTGAGGGAAAGAAATATCCTGATAACAAAGTATCAGAAAGTAAGAGATGGAAAAAGATTGTAGGGAAAAAGAGGGGGGTACGGGGGTCAGCTCGGGTTAATACGAGGAAATAAGCCCCATCGTTCTCGCCTTCCACTCACACGGTGAGATTGCGTCTCGTTCACACACAAACACACGACACACACCAGACGGCGTGTCCTTGCAGCTCGTTGGAAAGCCCCCGGGGTTTATGAGTTCAGGAGGTCGATCCCCTCAGGCCGCAGATAATAGGGGAGGGGGTTACGTATCACAACAAAGAAATGTAGTGATAAGAGCATGTGATAGTGTTGTGGTTGTTTGTGTAGACTTACTCCTTGATTGGACTCGTATGTTTCGGTTGGGTTTGCGTTTTCGCTTCGGAAAATGCTTTCAAGCTGGCGAACAAGAGCTCCTTTCATTGATGAAGAGCTTTGTGTGTGTGTGTGTGTGCGTGCGTGTGTGTGTATACTGACCCATGTCCATGCTCTTGGATCCTCTGTTGCGAGGTCTGTTGTCGTCTGCGTTCTCGTGACGTTCCTTCTGAAACTCACTGCAAAACAACAGTTTCAACAGATCATTTTGTATCAATATTCCCTCTTAAAGGGGCCCTATTCTTCTCATTGTCAGGTTCATATTAAGTGTTTCTACTTTAATGTTCAAAAAGCTCTTTATTTTTCTCATACTGCTTGTGCTGCAGTGTGTGGGAGAGACACTTTGGGATTGTAGCCTTTGCAGACCATTTACATGCACAACAACCTATTTAACACACTACAGGAACGGGAAAAAGCATAATAGGGTCTCTTTAAATCAGTGCAGCAGGAGTGCAAAAGTATTTTTAGTGACTTGCATCACCCGAACAAAGAGTACATGTGATTTAAAGCCCACAAACAAATTCAATTTCCTCGTCTCCAGATGGCACGATTCAGTAGAACAATAGCATCTCTATTGAACATACAGCAAAACAAGTTACTGACGCCAGACTCTGACCACAGGACACACACATTCAGAAACCCTTACTTACATGTATCATAGCTTTTTCTAAGCCTCTTACAGAGTTTACTCCTTTGGGCTATCACTATAATTAAGTATGCATAATGCAAATAGGCTATTGCAATTAGCCTGTATGATCTAAATCAGGGGTCGGCAACCTTTTTGATATGAAGTGCCATTCTAAAAAAAAAAATGTATCAGCGTGCCGACGATCGTGAATTATCAACGGGGGGGGGGTGTTGAAGAGCTCGACGAAAACACTCGTGAAAAGTGATGTTTAAAACTCAGTTAATGGGGCTCATTCACTGGCGCTTCCACAAACAACAACCAACATAATTGTTACATTCAAATGAAGTAGCCTACATTATTCAAGTTTACATTAACTTTGGATAATAACACGGGAGAAATGAGCGGAAGCGCTCTCTTTTCCTCTCTCCCCCTCTCTCTCTCTCTCTCCTGACAGCCTGCCAGTATCTCAAGCAGCTCACTGATCCAGTAATGAGTGACAGTGAAGAATAAATATATTTATAACTAGTTCCAAAGGTAGATCAAATAGCTAAGTGTGTTAGGTCTAACTCTTGTGTGTTCTGCTCCGCTCACCGGTCCGTCACAGCGGGTGGAGCTGCAGGATTTCTGCTTCACACACGTTGCATACCGCTATTTTATTGTCTTTTTCGGACACTTAAAATACTGCCAGACTGGTGAAGCGATTTTGGCGAGCTTGTTTTGCCGCACACAGAGAAAAGTGTCATGTATGTTACGTCTCGCAATCGGCCTTTTTGAGTGGGGCTGCGTTGCGTGCATGGTTTCCTTCTGCAGGTAACGGGGAGACGCGCTCTGGCGGCGGTCTCGTTCAGGATCCGAAAATAAAATAAATATGTTGTACACTTATTCCACTTATTCCTAGTGTGCCACTGGTTACGGTGCCGCGTGCCGTTGGTGGCACGCGTGCCAGGGGTTGCCGACCCCTGGTCTAAATAATGCATGTAATATTGAGTGTAATGACTCTGCTCTATCTCATAACACAGCGGCACATAATAAGAGTGCCATTAGAATATAATAACTGTGGCCCAGAGTGTAGTGCAACATGCTGACGGTGCAGGTACCTGTGGCGGGGGGGAGTTTGGGTTGAGTCTCTGTTCATTTCCTCCACAGAGCCGGGGGAGGGGGGCGGGGGGAAGCCGCCGTCGTCGTAGTCCTCGTCTTCGTTGCCGTAGTGACCGTAGCTGCCGTTTGTGGTCGCAGCGGGAAACGAAGCTGAGGAGGAACAAGAAACTGTTTAAACTCCAAACTTGGAATAGGTGTTTACGTGACGCTCCTAATGCCAGTGTGTGTATGATTTCTGAATATTGTGCGTCATCCTTTTGAATTAGGTGCACACAGAGGGATGTTTACATATTGACAGTATGAAAATCAGTGTGTTGAGGATCAATACAGAGCACATCATTTCCAAACAGATGCCACCATCCCCCCACTGTAAATCATTTGTGTTATCTGTATAACATGAGTGTAGTGCCAGTCTGATGGAGAAAAGCATCCCAGAGGGTGAGGAAAGGGGAGATGAGATAAAGAATTAATTTAAAAGAGTTTGTTAGTCTCTTTTTTTCTTGCACAATACTCTGAATGCAAATACGGCCCACTTAGAAGCCGTTTCATCAGCTTAATGATTCCAAGGTCAGATCTTTTGCACATGAAAAGCGAGCGCCGCGTTCGGAGAAAAGAGGAGAAACACAGTTAATGACTTCCCTTTCTCCCGCTATGAATATGCAGCGAGGAAACAGATATAAAGGGAGCCTGGGAAAGGTGTGTTTTGTAAAAATGCGATGTCAGGAGCGTTGGCTGGGTGTCACACACACACACACACACACACACAGGCTGACAAACACAGTGTGTGTACACGCTCAGAGGCAGATAACGTGCGTACACAAACACTCACAGCCTCATGTTGACTATCTGACAGCTCAAATAGACAAATATTGTGTGGCTCACCACTTCCAGAATTGACGTAGTTGTTGTTGTTTGCCATCGTCGGATTGAGACCCCCGTTCATGGTGGGCTCCGTGTTGGGGACTCGAGGCGGCCCCTGGTGCGCACTGTGGCCCCAGGAGTCCTGTGGACAAGGAAGAGCAATGATGAGAATGGTTAATATGCTAACAATGTCCCAAATTAAAAAGGTGAAAAGTTGATGATGTTGCCTCACACATCAGAAGATTAGTCATTTATTTTAATACCTAGCAGGTATTCCTTTTGTTTATCTAATTCCAGCCAATGTTCTGCAGACATATACAGAATTTAATTCTAAGCAATAAGGCGTGAGGATGATAGGGAAACATGTGAAATAAGTGAATGGTTCATTACATGATCATAATAACCTGGCTCGCCCACCTAGTTCTAAGATTAACGGCTGTAAAATATATGGAGAACATTATTGCGGATGCTCTTCTGTTCACACTAAGCAAAGTGAAGATAGGGTAAATATTTAATTGGAAGACTTAAATATAAATTATGTCTTTGTATTGTTAGGTTATATTTGTGTATGTACAGTTGTGAGGGTTAGGTTTGAAAGCAGCCTTTCATTTGTTATTCCCCCTTTAACTATTCTGCATTAATATAACAGGTATACATTTTGGACTAAAGCGTGTTATATTTTCTAGAGAAAGAGAATTTGTAGTTCAATCCGACATACACCTACTATGCCAGAAAGGAGGATTGTACATATATTATGTAGTAGGTACATCTCGCAATCAATCAATTATGAGACACCTCAGACGGTGATGTGGGAGCTTTGAGGAAACAGATTTAGAACAATCCTCTGGGGGGTGGGACAGCGTGGGGGATGAGGAAAATATCACAAAGTAGAGAGTTGATCATAATTGAAGGAAGACATGTGTCATCCATTCAGACAAAAGACGTTTCCTTAATGTGTAAAGGCAGAGAGACGTTGTCATGAATTAAATATCTACACACAGCACTGTGCCTGAGTTTTATTTTTGATAGGGTTGGCAAGAGGAAGTGAACTTTGCACATGCTGTGTCTTACAAAACATTTGGGATACAATAAGTGTGGAGTAATACCAGTGTTTTTAGGTCTGCTATCCTGATCTGCATGACATCTATTTTATTATATTATTCAAGAACATTTGCTAATTAATTAACACAAAAAACAGATTTGACCAATTACTTGGAGATTTTAATTGCAATGTCAGAAAAAAACTGCTCAAAATCCTACTTCCATACTTTTTATACTATTTATTTTATACCAATTAAGGTTTTATTTTTAGATCTATGAATCTAAAGTCTTTTGTAAGGGTCTGCGGGGACCCTGTATATATTTCTATTCAGTATTTTTGTCGCCTCAGGCACAAAACTGACTTCAAAACTGTAAGTGCAAAAACACGGCCATTCTCTTCATGTGCTCGATTGGAAACGCAGTACTTAAGACAACCCTGAGACAGGCATGTTATCGACAGCACTACAAAGGACCCCCCTAATGCCCCCACCCTCCAACATATAGAGATAGGGACTTGAATAACTGGTGGAGGATGAAAGAAGCCTGCTCTGGTCAAAGAGATGGGATCTACAGCTGTCACACACACACCTATACATTCAAAGAGAAATAATCCTTAGAATAATGAAAGGTGTAGCGATGTATATCTCCGTCATATCAAAGCGTTGGGTGTACGCACAGTGTCCCTGGGGTATCATTAGTAGCTACCATACGTGTTAATATATCACCACATCTGAGCTGTCAATCACTTTGAGCTCATATATGTGTCTACACAATTCTGACAGCTTTTCTACATGAGACGTAAATCACATCGTCTCCATCTCCGCCCGTCCGTCTCCACCCGCTGCGTCTCGCCCCCGGCTTTTGAAGCCAGACAGGCAGTCAGATATCTTAATCCCACAACAATAAGTAAACAGTGGGGGGGGGGGGGGGGGGGGGGGGCATCTATGCAGTCAGCCCCAACCTACAGCTGCATACAATAGACTTCTGAGAGGCTTAGCCCCTGCCTCCACCCTACTGTGTCCCCCACCCCACCCATATTACACTCCACTCAGGATGGAAAACAAAGAAACAGGGAAAGAAATTAAACAAACACAGAAATTATTTTGTCACAGGTACTTCGAACTGCACTTACCTGAATGACACATGCTAAATTAAGTTGACTACACTGAATGTGATTTAATAATAGTTTCAGTTAAGCGTTTCAATAATGTTTTATAAGAGATCTTATTGTGGCTTTAAAAATAACCTTTCAGTGTGATCTCATTTTCCTGCCGTCCATTGTAATATTAGCCAGAAATGAATACTACTCAAAATAGAGTTTCCTTACAAGTAAATCGACATTTGTTTTTGTATTTGTGCTATTAAAAGCAACATTTACCCTGCTGTTGAAAATGTCAGGGACCCAAATCATCCAAAATAAGTTTAAATGTGACTAACAGAGAACTTTGTGTTATTATAATTAGGATGTAGGGTCATATCCTTAATGGAAATCTAACTCTAGACAGACAGTTGGAGATGGGGGGGGACGCTGAGGGGGCTGTGCTTTAGGGAGCGCTTGTTTTATCACGCTGCTTCACCCTGCCACCAGACAGGCTGGGTGGGGATGAGGCTCTTCAGATATACAGTGAACCTTGAACTGGCTTTGATAGCATTCATCTGCAGGCTTGGATAACTTAAACACAAACACACACACACACACTGATGGGAGTGTGGCGTGGAGGAGATGGAAACGCCACAATGGGCAGGTCAATGGCACTAACCCTCCCGTTAATACTCCCTCTCTCACTCAGCATCTGCTTTAACTGCTGCGACACATCTTTAAGAGCGTCTGAAATAATCAGTCGCGGTTCAACGTGGAGCTAAAAAGACAGAAAACGGCGATTTTTCACCACCTGTCATAATTCAGATCGTCCATTTGTGCTGCTTTTTGAACATTACTTTAACGTCTTGTGCGACGTTGGGATTTTAATGTTGCTTGCAAGGGAGTAAAGGAACTGCCATCACACTTTCTTTTTTAACAACCACAGAAGGTAAAAATAAGCAAAGGTTGACACATTCCACGCACAATTATCACACTGAGGAAACGTGTTCACAGCTCTGTGGAATATCTACTCATTATTCCTGAAATATGTTCATTTGATATATATCTGTGAATGTGCGACTGTTAATGTGATAAAAAATGTAATTATTTTGGTGCATCGGTACAGTACGTTCAAAGAATGAATCATGTTTTCCATATGTCCTGGTTTCGACGTGCAGTAACAGAGAATACAGAGAGACTGAAACAGAAGGAAAAAGGTCCAAAAAGTCTTTAATAAAAGTGGCGGAGGTGCAAGAGGAGAAAAGACCCAACAGAGAAACAGAGAGGCATGCAGGAGGCTTCAGATCAGCTTTATTTAACAGAGGACAAACAAGCAGGTGAGACAGAAGAGCAGGATACATTCCCTTAAAAAAACGTGAACATAAAAAAGGAAAACTTTATACAAATAGACAAAAAAGCACGGAGCAGATAAAGCAATAACAGTGAGGAGGTTTGAAGGGAAACTATGAAAGAATAATAACTTTAGTGAGTTAAGACTGATGTGACAGAAAGGAGGCTGCACAGAGGGAAGTATTGAGCTCATGGGTAATATTTTAAAAAGAGTGAAAAGTGAATGCTGCGACAGTTAGTGGAGTTGGCACGGAGAAAAGCTTTCAGCCTGATTAATATGCTTCCACATCATCGATCATTACTGTATTTACACTCGGACGATTTGGTGCAAAAAGTGGAGGAAGTGAAAAATGTCAAATTACATTATCGAAACTATTAACAACTTTACAAAGATTTTGATTAGAAAATTGATATCTTCTTTATTCCTGATAAAGGTCTAGAATAGAAATATTTAAATATAAAATGTTGCAAGTGATAGATTGTGCGAAAGCCTGTTTCTATCCACTCCTGCCTCTGCTTTGCACCCGTCCAATGAAGCAGATATGCCAGGTAATTTTTCTGCACACATTTGATGGATTGTTATCTTTTCAAAGTGTAGGAAATATTTACATTTTTGCACTATTCAGATCAGTGTGCACCCGCAAGAGCTTTACAACGTTTAGAATTTGCAGCCAGAATGTCACCTGCACCCCTTTTGCAATGCATATACTGCACACACACACACACACACACACACACACACACACACACACACACACACACACACACACACACACACACACACACACACACACACACACACACACACACACACACACACACACACACACACACACACACACACACACACACACACACACACACACACACACACACACACACACACACACCACACACACACACACACACACACACACACACACACACACACACACACACACACACACACACACACACACACACACACACACACACACACACACACACACACACACACAGTGTCAGAGCTGCATGTGTCTGGTGAGCGCTCTGTTGTGTGCGTAGTTGTGTGAGTGTGCGTCGAGGTACCTGTCTGCAGAGGTGTGTGTGTTTCTATTGTGTCTGTGTGTGGGTATCCTGCTGTGTGTGGGCGGGTCTCCGTACATCTGCCCTGCCATCGCCCTGATGTTCTCCGTGTATCTCTGAGAGCTGTGTGGGGGGTCCGGTGTGCGGCTACGTGCTAGCCTGACCTTGTGTGTGTGCGCGTTATCCGGCCTGTCGTGGCGGTGTGTCTCTGCGAGCGCTCGGCTGTGTGTGTACCCGTAATGGTAACTTTCCCGGTTTAAGTTTGTGGGGAAGCCGCTTAGCGTCTGGCTGTGAGAAACAAACCCAAACTCGTACTGTGAGGCCGGTCTGAACTCGTCTTTGTGTGCGTACCCCCCCTCATCATCACTATCTTTTTGCGCCAGGCCAAACGTGTAACCACTACTCCTCTCCTTCTGATTAAGACCATAGGTGTATCGGGTGTGTGTGTCCCCCGGCCTCTGTGTGTATCGCTGCATGTGGCTGAGGGACAGCGGCTCAGACGCTCTCCTCCTCAGCGTGGGGAGGAGGGAGGAGGAGCGGCTTGGGGGGGGCGGCTGCTGCTTCTGGGGGGGGCCGTCACCTGCTCGTACCTGATTGTTGGAGCCCGTATAGTTGTACTGGGGATGGGCGGAGGAGCCATTGGAGTTTGGTGCCGGGCTGGCCGTCTGAGAAAGCAAAATCAATTGGAGAAAAATGTAACTATTTTTTCTTTAAAGCCAAACCATGAATATCCTATTAATATGAATGGACCCATTCATATATTGTTATATACATATTATATATTGTAGTACAGTGTGCACGTTTTTTACTGTTTATACAAATATGAATAAGGTCTCTTTTATATTGCTGACATGCATATAGGGCGGATGCCTCCAGTTTGTCCAGTGGAGCATATCTTCACATCATCACAACAGGCGACAGTAATGATCCTAATGTGGCTGATGTGTGTCATTGATTCTGCTGTCAAAACTCTGGTAGCTTCTTCTGAATATTCTTTGAAAAACATCAGGATGAGCGGAGAATTTCATAATGCATAAGCATCCCTTAATGTTTCATGTAACCAAAATCCTCTAACCAAACTCAGGGAGGCTGAACATGCAGCTCCACATCCAGCAGAGCCTCCAAAGAGAGGAACTGACAGGAGCACAGTCTGAGGATATGAAGAAAGAACTCAACTAAACATATTTAACACAAGTATGCTACTTTAAATATTCATTTTAAGCATGTATTTATGATAACACAAGCAAGATATACTTGAATTCTCTCAGTTGATTTCTGCAAAACTGAGAAGACGCCCAATGATGCAAAACTTTACAAAATCAAGCCAACATGACATCAAAATGTAATTCTCCTCCATAAAAGAGTCTGATTTCCAATCCAATCATCTTGAAAAATGTAGAAAACACACTCGTACACCCGTAAAACATTGCCTGTGTGGGATACGCCTCTCCAAAACCATGATATTCCAGAGAAATGTACGGAGTAGGTGACAGAGCAGAGATTTCATCTGTACCTGTCTGGGTGCTCGGAGCACCACCAGCTGGATGGTGCCTCTGGCGTTTCCCTCTGACGACATCGAGTGTCTCAGCGTCTCCATGGCAGCGTGGTTGGAGCGTCCGAGCAGCGATTCGCCGTTTACCGCGATCATCTGATCGTTCACGCTCAACCGACCATCCTGTTGGGAGAGGTTAGCAGCATTAGCATGAGGAGGATAGTAGAGAAACACCAGTACAACACACATTTGTAAGTAATACTTATGTGTGTTGTACATACTTGAAACACAGTGATGTTAACGGGAGAAGAATCTAACTTTTTTCAGAATAAAAGCTCATATTTATTTTTTAATGTTATCTATTTGCACAGTAAATAAATGCAGCATTACCAGGCCTTTTAAAGATCTTCTTATCTGTTCATATCACTAATGTTAACGCCTCATAACAAATTAATGATGTGAAGATGCAAGGATGGGGAAAAGAGCTCAAATCCTCAGTAAAATAAGACACAAGACTGGTCACACCATTTTTAAGAGGGGATAAGAGGAGAGGTGTAAAATGAAATGTGTGTGTGAGAGAATAATAAAGAGAGAGAGAGAGAGAAAATGTAGTAGAAATGGAAGAAGGGGGGAAGGCAGGAAAATGGAAGAGTTAGCAATCTACTGAGAGCGGGAGAGCCATGATAAATACATAGAGCAGCTAATGGAATAGCCTCGGTGGGCACTAAATCACTTCTAAGTGTTTTAAATAGCAGCCTCTCATGGAGAGAAACACAGAACGGTGCCCTGGAGGGAGAGAGGGAGAGGAGAGGGGAGAGAGAGAGGGAGAGGAGAGGGGAGAGAGAGAGGGTGAGTGGGGGGGTCAAATAAGGAAAGCAATGCAGAGGGCGATAATTTAAAAAAAGAACAATAACCATGAGACACTAAAGACTCTCTTTGAGTGTGTGTGCAGAGTCATGATTGCTCTATTATGGTCAACGATGACCTTTGACCCCATCTTATTAACAAGGCACCATCAGGTCTGGCCTCAATGCAGACTGGGATGATGGCAACACCAACACACAACACACACACACACACACACACACACACACACCCACACACACACACACACACACACACACACCACCACACACACACACACACAACACACACACACACACATCACCACACACACCCACACACACACCACACACACACCACACACACACACACACACAAACACCACACACACACACCACACAACACTCACACACACACACACACACACACACAAATCAAGATGTGTTGTCATGAAAAATTGATGTTTTGTGCCAAAATCAGTCGTGTCTGTGATTTTCCTATTAACATCTCCTCTCCGCCCTAGATGTAAATTTTACATTTTGTTTTTTCCTTTTAGCTTTGATATGATGGTATGACAGGATCAGGGTGAAGAGCCAGGGAAGAATTTTAGGATATAATTGAGGGCCCCGCGGCCCACGGCAGCAGCCTCCACACACTCTTTAATGGAAATAGGGTTAGATCTCTCCATGACTCTTACCTCGCTCTACCTCCCTTCTTCTGGCTGATTGTGTGCGTGTGAGACTCGGGGGGCGCCCGGGTTCCCTCCTCTGCACCGAGAAGTCTCATCAGGCTGGGCCCTCAACTGCTTTACATCGACACCGAGGAGGACACACACACACACACACACACACTTATGCATTGTGTTCATGCTGAGTGTCTCCACTTTTCAATTTCCATCTCTCTTTTGTTCGATACCGCTCATTTCTTCCCTCCCTCCTCTCACTCCTGCTGTCTCTCTTTCAATGGTTTTCCTCCCTCGCTACTGTCCGTCTCTCTTCCTCCGTGTCTCTCTTCCTCTTATGTGGTATCTTGTCCCAGAAACCTGTTTCGCAGCCAGCCGGAGATCTTACTATCCGCGTCGGCAGCTGTCTGAAAGAAACTACTTCTGAAGGCACTTTGGGGAGCTGCTGTCTAGCCGCTCCTGATCCCAGACCAGTTTATCTGGTACGCCACACTCGTCTCTGCGCCTCCTCGTCCTGCGGTGCAGATCTGGGAGCAGCATCGAGGGGGACGAGGACTTGTGACGGGCAGATATTGAGGCCAATTGGAGGGATCTCCAAAGTGCTGAAACGGGATGTTTTTCTCTCCTGATGCTCTCACAACTTGAAGTGAGCGCTGAGTGATTTAGATAAGGCCGCTGCAGCGCTGAGGCGGCGAGGCCACTGGAGGTCAATGGGAGTCAAAAGGCCGAGGGAAAGCCGGGCAGGGGGAGAAAGACAGGAAATGAGATGAGAGGCGAGTAGAGGAAGAGGAGAAGAGAGGAAACGACATCGTAAAGAAAGGGGGGAGAGTGTGGACAGATGAAGGAGAAAGAAAAAGATCAAGAAAAAGGCTTCTTGAGAACCTTGACTAGATAAAGATTTGGTTCTGAAAATGTTTCTGCAATACTTCTCACAACTCATATTTGATGTATGTAAGGAGCTCTTTAAAGCACTCAAAGGGTACTGGGTGTTTCTCAATGTCGAGTACGCTCGCTTGGTAGCACATGTCTTCCGAGCGTCTTGCTTCAGAAGCGAGGCAAGAATACTTCCTGGCATTCGGAAAACGAAGAGTGGTACAGGCGAGCAAGTGTGCAGGTGTGCGTCATACGAGAGGCCCCGCCTTACATTTTCCGCCACAGATTTGGGGAAATTGGTCCGTGCGCAAAGCATTGTGGGGATTTTAAGACCGCGGAGTCTACTCATGTGCAGCCTCGAAATGTCTCCGAACGACATTGGAACGGCGGCACTCGATGACGTAGTATGCTTGAAATAGTGGCTCTGGAGCAGCTTTACTCGCGACTGAGAAGCACCCTCTGTGATGGTAGAAACCTACTGAAGCAATGTGGGAATATATAGGAAGCTTTATATGGAAAGGGGTGGAGGGTTATCAGCTTTTATTTTGTTTTTGTTTGTGAAGCACTTTGTTACCCGTTGTGTATGGAAAGTGCTATATAAATAAAGATATCATTATTACAGACACCACTTGAGGATCCTGTACCTTGTTGGCGGCCCCTCCGTGGATGATGGACTTGATGAAGATGCCCAGGTCCTCCCCGGTCTCTCTGGACTTGTTGCCCTTCAGGCTGACCCCGAGTCCAGCGGATCCAGACTCATTGAGCGGGATCTCGTACATCAGCTGCTCCCTGCCGTCCTCCAGCACCAGGCTGCCTTCCTCTTCACCTTTCTGAAAACCAAGAAATATTGAGTTCTTGAAATGCTTTTTAAAAAGCTACTTCTCTACACCCCTAATACCTGCTTTACATAATAAGTGCTGCGTGTGATCGCTGACGATTGAGGCAGCGTATCTAATGTACTCGCTGATAATGCATGCTCCTACAGCACGCTGATTATACTCAAACAGAGACGGATTCAAGAGTCGATACGATATTACTTTATTTGTCAGATCAGGTCTGAAATTTCGGGTGGAAGAGGTAAAAGAAACGGAGCAGGTGTTGTGTACCGGAAAGAGAGATGCAGGTGTAGTGAGGGAAAGGAAGAAAGCTACTGGAGAGAGGTTATTTCCATTTGGAGATGAAAGGCGCAGGCGAAGAGCGAGACATTTCTAAAGGAAACATAATAACCTTTTCATACCTCCTCCTGCTGGAGCACGCTGGGGGAGGAAAGGGGGAGCATGGAGGCGCAGAGGAGCATTTAAAAGTAATAACCCATCCCTGAGGTATTCTCTCGTTTACCCCCCCCCCCCTCCTCCCTCTTTACATTTCACCCTTATCTCTCAATCTTACTGTACTGTACCTCCATCTCTCCCCCTTCCTTCTCTCCTTTCCACAGGTCGCTCTCTACACCCTTCACCCACTCCTTTAATGTGGAGAAAGTGACCGTGGTGGCAGCAGCAGAATATATGATGATGGGGGGGGGGGGGGGAGACAAAAGGCCACAAAAGGGAAATGTGATGGCAGAATGGAGAGTGGGAGAAAAGGCAGTCTCAAGGGTGAAGAGGATGAATTGAAGGTTAAAAGTGTGTGTACAGTACATGGCTCTTTTTTCTCGCTTTTCTCACTTTAGTTGAGGCTAAAAATACATTTGAGGAATAAGCAAGAGACGGTGAAAAACCAAGAAAGATCTAAGGGAAATGTGCAGAAATATGCATGTACATTACACCAGCCTTAGCACTTGTCACAGCTCTACAGATGAGAGCACCCGCAGCAGGATTGCGGCAGCCTTACATCACACAGCGCTGAATCACCATGTTCACATTTCCTGTCGTCGAGGCACAGTGTTGAAGGAGTCAAATGTGGCCTCCAGGAAATGTTGTAAGATTCACGACCCTAGAAGCTCCCTCTCAACCTCGCTGTGATTTTCCAAACAGGGATTCTGTCTCCCTCGTCTGTGATGCTACGTCTGGGTGCGTATTAAAACAACAGACCTTTATAGCCGTTAGGCCAGGATGGATACTACTTATTAAAATGTGAGTCATGGCTCAGGTGAAGGAGCTAAACCTGAGTAAAGAAAATCCTGAGGTACTACAAGGCACTGATGCAAGTCACTGCTCTCACTCTGGATTGCAACATTTACAAACTAGTTCAAATGACTGATATCTGATTTGGACAACTATATTTAAAGTGGACCTATCATGCTATATTTGAATAATATAGTGTAGGACCATACCTATATAAGGCATATTTATACTTTTTTTTTTTCAAAATACCAAACAGATCATGCATTTTAGCCATGCCTCATTTCGCTCAATTTGACAAATGTTAGCTCTGTTTTTGCAAGGGTTGATTATGTGAGCAACAGCACCATCTAGAGGCCTGGCATATGTACTACAGCGTCTCCAGCGCTTTCGAACGGTAATGGCCGTGGCTGTCTCCTCCTGATTGGTGGAGTTGGCCCAATAGCCGTAGCGCCACCGTCCTGACGTCAGGACAGTGTTCAAATCTGGATCAGTTTTTATCAGATCCGTTGCAGCCCCTTTTTTTAGAGATTTGGGTATGGAGGAAAATAGAGAGGGTTGTGTTTTCTGACACTTGGTGAGTTCCCTGGAACACCGGGGACACATATTCATGTAGAAACGACGTACAAAAGTGCATTTTGCATGATAGGTCCCCTTTAAGGAAAGCAAGGTCTGGTCACAGTTACAGTAAACGTCAATTTAAACTGGTTTCTGGTCCGTGCACACATTGACATTTAAATAAGCAACAATATTGCTTTCACACATACTCATTAAAGGAGTTACGTACTATACGTGTTGGGGTTTTCCCTTTCCTGTAGAGTTAGAACAGGTTTTTGTGCATGTAAATGGTCTGCAAGGGTGTTCCCTCCAGAGATGGGGCACATGAAAGCTGCAGACGGACACACCGATGAACACATGATCTTACCCCAGGCTAAAGTTCAATTACCTATGTACAAATGTATTAAAATGACATCACCCCTTTGCCCTAATTAAAAAATGTAAGAGTTTATATTACTGAGAGAGTAGGTGCACTGCAGGTTTCAGGTTTCTTCATCACTTTATATTGAACTTTGTCTCTGCTGATAATCACCTCTCAGCCGCTGCTCGTATTCACTTCCTTGATATGCTGATAACACGTTAAATCAAACTATTTCAGTACAATACACGACTTTCAGTCAGGGCTTATTTTTATCAACAAGGCTGCTACTCAAAACCGAGAGGAATTACAAAGACACCACTTCCTGCCCGAGAGACACTTGAGAGGTGTCAGGTGGCACCCTGGGAGGTTTTAAATACCTCTGTGATGGAGCTGAATAACACACAGGGTGGAGGTGGACGGATCACAGCGCAGCGGCTCTGGGAAGTTATCAAATGCAAGTGAACACGCTCTTGTATCCGATTCAAATCTATTTAAAGCTCAGTGGTGGTCCAAACTCACTCTCTCACACTCCTCTCTGAAGTCCTCTCCTTGGGGGCCGATTGTCCCCAGGGGGGGGGGCTCCCCTCTGCGACCCCCTCTCCCCCCTCTGTTAGCCCTAAGCTCTTTAACAAGCTCTTAAGCCAGGAGAGACCACCCTCTTCAACACCCAAATGAGGAAACAAAACGGAGCTTTTTCTTTCCCCAGGGTGGGTGGTGAAGAAAGGATGGGTGGTGGTGAGGGTGGGGGGGGGTGATACACAGCGATTACACAGAGCCTTTTGTCGCTGAGGATTTCAAATGGGGGGTTTCAAAGCGGCGGGATTAGCGGTGAGAGCGACATTCAATTAAGATGAGATCTCGCCACGCTCCGACGGCAAACCACGCCGCTGCCAATTAATCGCCTTAATGTCTGCCGCCGTACACCTTTACCGCACAATGAGGAGAAAGGAAAGTGAAATGACTGATTGGGGGGATGATTCCAGTTATTTGGGAAAAGGGGGGGGGGGGGGGGGGAGAAGCTCTAAGACAGACTGACAGAGAAAGGGAAAGAGGGATGGATAAAAATTAAAGCTGTCTCACGACCCTGCTTCCTGTGAGCTGGCCTAGGCTTGCTCCCAGCGGAGGGGTGGACCATGTGCAGCGTGACCCCCCCCATCCTGTCCTTGGCATTATTCGACACACACACTTTCACCCACAAAAACTCTCAAAACAAAACAAGGGAGAAATGCTGACAGCAATGAAAGTGTGATAAGAAGTTATCACTTTTTAATTACTCTGAGGCTGCGTGAGAGTACGGGAGACGGAGAAGACAGTCCTCGTCCTATTGTATCTTTAAAAATGAGGCTAATTCCCCCCGCTTTGCTGTTATTCTGAAAGAGACCACTGTGTGCTTCAACAGAAGCTGCTCATGAAACATCAATACCCCTCTCTATTGAAACCAATCAATCAGCAGTTCAGCTTCTAAAAGTCCACTTTGCTCGTACAAGGAGGTTGAAAGAGAGTATAAATCTTGAGGGGTTGGCAGCAGGATGGTGCAGGGAGGACAAACACCAGCCTTTTAACCTGCTGACCCGGGGAAAATCTGCTGTGTCAGCGACTTTCTGTCCTGCTGAAGTGTCATTTGGGACCGCGCTGACCTCTGACCAGCTCCAGGACTCAGCTGACCTCCAATCTCCAATGCGTTCCTTAGTTAAGTATTAGCATCACTCAGTGAATTCCCGGTTCAGGTTTGAGCCAGATGTTGGATTTAACAATCATTAAGAAGCTTTGCTGTGAGACATTAACTTATGTTCATCCCGATGTACAGCTGTGACTTTCCCTGAAGTCTTTGTCATGTCCATGTAGGTGAAAATTATGACCAAGAAACGGGTGTATCCATCTAAAATATTGCTGGTTAAGGGTTCTCCAAATTTGCTGAGCATTTACAAAAAAGCTGGACAAGTGAGACACAGAATTAGCTTTTCCAAGATGAAACCACAGCACATCATAACGCTTCTATACCTCTGCTCTGCAATAAGTGAAAACTATCAAATCTGACACTTAATTAAAATAAACCAAACTTATAGTATTAAGTGAGAACTTTCTGTTGGTAAAAATGATCCTATCAAAGACTCAATTAAAACCTTAATATATGCGATGAAACAATATTTGAGATTCATGATCTGTAGCAGTAACAGTGAATGAAAACTTGTAGTTTAGCCAATTAATCTCAGCAGCTCCTGAATTTAAAACTGTGCTAATGAACTACCGATTTGCATCTTATTATTTTTATAAACAAAACAGAATTATGGTAGATGAAGGGACTACGTTTGCACAAGATACCACAGCATCTAAAACATTGATAAATATTCATAAGCATCTACACCAAGAAATGCAGACGGACACCTACGCACAGGCGTTTCCGTACGAAAGGGAAAGCAGATGTCCGCGTCGACTTAATGCGTCCATCATCATTACATATTTTATGCGAGTGTATCGTCGTGAGGTGCTCTTTGCTAGTGCTCTAAATGCATTCCCACTACAATTGACTACTTAAGAGCAGCAGGAATAAGAGTGGAGCAATTAAAACCTGCAAGAAAGGAAGAAATGGAGGGGGGACTAGTATTTTTGGTTTGTTTTGTAGGAGGGTGTTTTTTTACTACGTCTTTCTATGCTGTATACTATGTGTGTTTGGACTTTTGGACACATGGGAGTTTCAGCGTCTGTTCATTTAAGTAATCCTAAGTGTGTGCGTGTGTGTGTGTGTGTGTGGGTGTGTGTGTGTGTGTGTGTGTGTGTGTGTGTGTGTGTGTGTGTGTGTGTGTGTGTGCTTAGGGGACATCAAACCGTCTTTGAGGTGGAGGACTGTGCTGCAGATAAGGGCCACATCTCACGGGGCAACGACAACTTCAGCAGTGAAGGCTCTCTCTCATTCTGCCTCACCCCCCCTCTCCTCCCTTTTTAAGTCACTGATGCCCAAATACAAGCAAGTGTTAGATGAAGCCTCTTCAAAGTGCACTTGTTATGCCAACACTGCAGGGCCATTAATGAGGGCAAACTATTTCCGGAAGCAGTAACTCGCCTGTTTAAAGATCGTGTGATGTCTGTGTGTGTGAGAGTTTTTTCTATCAAGGACTAGGAGTGTGTGTGTGAGTGTGTGTGTGTTAGCAGCCACTTTAAGGTGTGAATATGCATCAGTCACTACAAAGCCCCGCGCGTCTTCCTCGGAGCTCTTTGAAGCGGCGGAGAGGGAGTAATCAGAATAACCACGGAGGACGGAGGGTTAGAGAATAGCAGCGAAGCGAAAAACATCATTTACAGAGAGCGGGGGGGACCTGGCTGTGTGTGTGTATGTTAAAAAGAGTGTGTTTATTGATCAAACGTCCCCAGTGAGGTGCAGTCACGCTGTGTCGGTTTCACAGCCGTGACGCTGACCTCTGACCCCGGCAGGTTATCGGTCACTTAGCGCTCGCGGCGTGTCGACATGCGCGGACATGGCTGTGCGTTTCCTGCGTGTGTGTGTGACTTCCTGTGGCATCGCTGTGTCAACAGAGCAGAGGGGGACAGGAAGGCCGGAGCGTGCTCTGGGCGTGTGTGTGTGTGTGTGTGTGTGTGTGTGTGGGGGGGGGTGTTTATAGGAAAAGGGCATCAACATAAAGAGGTTAGGTCCTCTGAGAGAGAAAGAGGAAAAAAGACAGGAAAAGTGACGACAAACGATAGACTTTGGGAAACTGTGTGATGGCGGGTGCTGATGTTTTTTTACGTTCACACTCTCTTACCAGTTCCCGAGGCAGGAAGATGTCCTCCTGCCGTGCCACCACCACACACACACTCTCGCCCTGCCTGGTGCTGCGCAGCATGGCCACCAGCTCCTCCTGGCTCCTGCCTGTCATGTCTACTCCATTCACCTGCACACACACACAAACACACACAGAAGTGTATTAAAGCAGGGTGTATAAATCCACAGAAAATGTTCTGTAATTCTGGAAACATGAAAATGTCCTCCTCAGTAGGTGTGCCGCAGCTCTCTGCTCCTAATGATGATGTATTTCTTGTTCCTGGTAACAGACACTTCTGCTTTGTTTTACTCCGTTGGGGATCAACATTTCAGTCTTACCTCCAGGATGCGGTCTCCGGGATGCAGGCGGCCATCTTTGACAGCTGCTCCGCGCTGCAGGATGTTCTTCACCAGGATGGGTCCCGGCCCGTGGACAGAGGAGTCCCGGGTTACCACGGTGAAGCCCAGACCCTCGGTGCCTACAGGGGGACAAAGCAGTCACGGAGAGTATTAGGGACATAAATCCAGGGCGAATTTGACTACTTTTAATTAAGTTTCAATTAAATGTACACTTTTTCTTCCCCTTCTCCTCAGTTTTTTCTCCTCCCGCTGAACCCAGTGTGTGTTTTAAGCATCTCCCTCCACATTAACTACCGTTTAAGTGTCTGTTTTCCTCTGAGGGGTTTGTTGCCTGGCTCTGCCTCCGAGCCCCCAAAGGAGGCTTCTCTGCTAGCCGGATTAGACAGACTCTGCCTTTAATTTCACGTGTGAGCAGGCCGAGCGGTGGCTGATGAAGGGAGGTGGAGGGAGAAGATGGAGGGAACGTGGGAGGGGGAGAGGAGAAGAAGAGAGAGAGGAACCTGAGGGACATTATTCCCGTCTCTAGCTTCCCTCCCTGGGGATGCAACGTGATTTCCACAAAGATTTTCCTCGTGGGTGTGAGCCTGCGTGTGTATACATTTACAAGTGTGTGTTCTTCCAAGGACACACACACACACACACACAGACTCACACACACACACACACACACACACACACACACACAGACTCACACACACACACACACACACACACACAGACTCACACACACACACACACGAGCCATCAACCCCCGGAGCCTCCACCCTCTCCCTTTTTCACGGCCTCACAAGCCCCAAGCCATGAGTGAAATGTGCCACGCTCCGTGTACGTGTGTGTGTGTGTGTGTGTGTGTGAGTCTGTGTGTGTGTCTGTGTGTGCAGGCAGAGCAAAGCCGGCGTGGCATACTGAAGGCGGTGAGCGATGCTATCTGGTCTCCGAGCTAAGCCTCTGCCTGCCCTACATTAGCGCACCTAAACCTCACCGCCTGTCAATCACGCAGAGAAAGAGCCTGTTGCCAAGGGAGAGGGTGTTAGGAACCCCATAATATCCTTTGCTCTGATCTTGCATCAGGTGAAATGGATAGAGGTAGACAAGGGGGGAAACATCTAACAAAGGGAGGAAGAGTAGGAGGAATGGGAGGGATGAAAAGGTGTGAAAGAAAGGAATAAACAATAAAAGTGTGTGAAAGAGGCTTTGAGTCGAAATACAATCTCTCCTTTCCTTTCATCTGGATATCTTTCTGCCTTCTCTTTCTCCGGGTACCTGTAGCAAGTGTGTGCTGCCCAATTACAGCTCTCCTTTCAATGCCCCGTAGCGCTACAGGTTGCTAGAACAGAGCCTATTCACAGCCCTACAAACCTATTCCAGTGCTATCAACACATCGGCGCTGCAGCTCTGATGTGTTTTAGAGGGATAATGGAGAAAGGCAGGCGGGAAGCCAGACACTTTCAGTCCGGGCTGGAATCTAAAGCGAAACACCCAGACTGAAGGATCAGGAATGGAGAAATGTCTTCACGATTGCAGCGGTTTCACACGGGACTAGATATTTGATTTCAAAAATCAATCCACATAACATCCAGGACTTAAAATCAGCTTTACACAAGATCATCAGAAACAAACCTGGAAGATAATGTCTCCCACATAATTCAAAGCCCACACCCACAGTTTGTAAAGCAGGCTTCCTTTAAGTACTTCCCATGATGAGTATAGTAGGAACTTAAATACTTCAGTTGCACATTTACCTTTCTTCAGGTCAATTTTTAACTTCTTTCCGCCCTTCCTGCCGGTGAGGTTTCCCAGGCCGGGCAGGGGGCTCCTGCTGCTCTGGGGGCTCTGGCTTCTGGTCCTGGGAGGGGTGGAGCTCTCTGCCCTGGAAGAAGGTGAAGGAGAGCCTCTCTCCAGGGAGCCGGGCCCAGGACGGAGCTCCGCAGGGGGGTTCGCCACATGAGTCTCCGGGGTCCTGGTCCGCGCGTCGGCTCGCCGCACCTCCAGGTTGGTGTTGGGTTTGGCGTCTCTTTTGGGTTCTGGCTGGGAGTCGGTTTTAGCGCGGAGCAATATCGGACTCTTTAATTTGGCTGGGGCGTCTTTGGCGTCGCCGGTGAACAGCTGACCTATCAGGCTCTTCTCGTAGCGTGGCTTGTTGGCCAAGGGGAGGACCTCCAGCCGCACGGGGGAGGACAACGTCATGGCCTGGCGGAACGCTTCCTGTGCCCTTTGGAAGCAAAATTGAAGAAATTAGCAAGACTTAAATATGTAGCTGAAGTCATTTTCACTCAAACTATAATGCCATCACTTCAGCCGAAACAGCAAAAGAGACCAAGAGGCAGAACACAGACAATTGGAAAGCAGAGAATGAGGCCTGTGCATCCTTAATGGAGCTCTGTTTCAATTTAGATCAAGCACGGAGAGATTCTTCCTGCTGGTTCGGGGACATTGCGGCCCCCGTCAGATGGGGACACGCCGACAGCAGGCTCCTATCGCAGGCTTTAATAGACTGCTATCAGCACAACATCTACACAACACAGTGGGAGGTGGTTAAATGGACCCATTCACCACAAAGAGGACAGAGAAAATAAAAAAAAGAATGGGGACGGCAGGTTGTAGTAGTGTGTGTGTGTGTGTGTGTCGGAGAGACATGTGTATACACTCTTTTGTGGAAGTAGATGGTGAGATAGGAAGGGAAGAGAACGATTTGTCTTTGGCTGATAAAAGGAGGCAAACTGGTGATGGGTGAGGTATCTCGCTACAATGGCGGACAGTGTGCAGGACAAACACACTCTTTCTGGTTTTTTTAAAGCTTTTGTTTAAGCTCCCAATCACATTCCTGTCTAATAAAGAAACACTTATTTCCATTTTTGGGTATGGTGCAAGTTGGAAAATATCTTGATCTCGCTACTTAGTGACTTTATAAAATGCCTTGGACGACAAAAAGACCTAAGACTAAAACAACCAAATAGTCGTCTAATCAAAGGAATGGATTCACATCCGTAAAATCGTATTAAAATGAATTTGCCACTCGTGTCTGATCTCATTGGTTTCTCCCTTCTTGGATATCTGTGTTGGGGACCATGGTACGTACTGAGCGAAGGTTTTATCCTGCAGCTGCGTGTCGTTGATCTGGACGATGGACTCATCCTGCTGGAAGAGGTTCTCTCTCTTGGAGCGGCTGTTTTCCTCGATGCCTTTAATGTGCAGGCCCAGGGTCCTTTCAACACAAACACACACACACACAAACAAACAACACACACATAGTAAATATGGATTCAAGGAGGTAAACATATATGATTACATGCCAACACTTGAGCCCTGCTACTGTATGAGTCAACATAGCCATCTGCCTTTCCTTCAAATGTCTGATGACAGGTGGTGGGTGGAGAGAACAGTGTGTGTGTGTGTGTGTGTGTGTGTGTGTGTGTGTGTGTGTGTGTGTGTGTGTGTGTGTGTGTGTGTGTGTGTGTGAGGGTGTGTGTGTGTGTGTGTGTGTGTGTGTGTGTGTGTGTGCTTACCGTCCACTGAGAGAGGAGGAGTAGGGGATCACATGGATACCCAGAGGTCCCCAGTCCCCTGGAAACTCCACCGCCCTCGTCAGGGTGCTGTCAACAAAACACACACACACATATCTTAAAAGAGGCGGCATGCAATCATAAAACATATCACGGTACACACACCAAACTCCAATCCTTTCTAGCTCTTCAAAAATAAATTAGCTTTTTCCCTCTGGGCTACACTGATAGGGATACAAATTAGCTTACAGGTAGTCCTGCCAAACATCAGAATAAACATGTGTGTGTGTGTGTGGGGTTGTGAGTGTGTGTGTTTGGGACGCAGGTGGCTACTTCAGGCTTTATCTACCTGCTTTCTCAACCACCCAATCTAGCCGAGATAAAATAGGAGGACAGATAGAGGAGCAGATGGAGATGAAACAGAGCGAGCGGCGCTAATAATCTGAACCGTGGCTTTTCAGCCGCAGAGACACAAGGACAATGCTGCAGGAGATAAAGAAGAGAAGGCTTCTGATAGCAGGTGGCTAAGAGAGGAGGACCTGCGTGATGCGAGGAGAGGAAGATCACAGTGGAGCTAATGAACATTTCCTGTTTGTTTTTTAATCAGAGAAATCATGTTTTTGAACCTCCAACGTAGCTTCATCGGTTTTTTCCCGCTGTACAGAATTGACTCTATTTCTACTTAAAACAGGAATTGATGTATCCTTGAGCGACACACTAAAACACAAATTGCTCCAGAGGGAAAGCTTAAGATCTTTCTGATTAAAACTTACCAAAATAATGTTATATTATTTCTGCACTTTATATATAAAACCCATTTATTTAACTCAGATGAAACGTATGTTATATCTGACTGTGTTGCAGTTATTGCATTGCCACTTTTCTCCTTCAGGCTCTGAACTTGATGAACAGAAAAGCGACCTCAGGTGGAGGCCGAGAACATAAAGGCGTTATTCTCCTCAAAATGTCTCTTATAGTTTTTACAAAGCTTCAACGCAAAAAATAAAGAGATTTATAAAGTGTCTGCGTGAGAAAAACTAAACAGAAAGGCAGAGAAGTTCAAGGTTTATGTGCTTCCTCCACACACACACAAGCCCATGGACTAGCTGGGATCATTATAACACACTCCTCTGTCACTGTCGCCTCGCTCTCGTTAACCTCTGCCACGGTCACACGCGCACATACTGTACACACACATCCACACACACACCACCAATTTGCATTCTTATTGCTACATCTAGTGCAAGCTCACAAACACCATCACTCACATTCCCTTAAATTGAATTCAGAGGTACACACATGCATCACATTTACATCTATTAGAGCACACACTAACGTCTGAATTACACATGTGCACTGGCCATGAACTGCACACACACACACACACACACGAATGCGGTTTACATGTAATTATATGATGGTAAACAATCAGGATACACACACACAGGTACAAAGCTGGTTGTGAATGATGTTTATGTATCCACACAGTGTGCATGAAACACACACACACACACACACACAGCTTCAGCCCATTTACATTCATATAAAAACAAACGGCGGCACAAACAAGCTCATCAGAGGACGCCGTGGCTTGTTAGCGCCGCACTCTGATATGCAGAATAGCTCCGCTCACCCATTTTAGCATCCCGCTGACACAAACACAAACACAGTCATTCCACTGGGGGAGACAAGGGGGAGAAAAGGGGGAGGCACAGATGAAAGTGCGACGAGGAGTGAGACAGATGGAGCTCCCACTCTTGGTTCACTTCCTCCAAAAGCGACGGAGGCCAAAAGCGACGGAGGCCGAAACCGGCGGCCGGGACTCGTTAAAGACAAGAGGGGTGCTCCCCCGCTCGCTCCCCGTGGCTTCTTCTGCACGTCCATCCATCTGTTACCATGGCGACCTATCTGTGAGAGTCCTGCCGCCATTGTATCATGGAGCTGTCAGGACCTGGCTGCACTTTAAAACGCTGAAAAATCCCCATCTGTCACCAGAGCGCCCATGAGTTCATTTAAAAAAAAGAGCGTTTTAGTATCAATTCCCAATCGGACCAAATGAAAACGCGGTCGGACAACCTCATGTGTATTTGTACTGTGTGTGAATTGTTCTACGTACACCATACGCTTATTCACCACACACACACACACCTGTTCACACACACCTGACAAGTAAGTATAGCTTGAACAAATTGAGAAAAATAGCACTCGATCTTTGTTTTGCCTCACTTTACTTTGCTCAAATAAATAATGTCAAGAAGAGAGAACACATGTAAATATTGTTTAGTTACTGAACTGACGGAAAACTAATTGACTACTAACATCTATTTTGTTTGACATGTTGTCGACTAAACAAGCCTTTTACAGGCCTAAACTGAATTCTTATAGGTCTTCCATTTTTAACTGTTGCATTAAAGTGGATCCTCAGGAAACATAATTCTGATACAAAATATAGTATTTATTATTCCAAAGATGCCAACTAGTAGTCAAACTAAGCAATACTGTGTGTTTTTAGTGTGACGGACCGCAACTATGAGCTTTTAGCATGATGACCCATAAATAACAGAATCGATAGAGAGCAACTACACTCCCCTCACAGGGGTCACAGGTCAACGCCCTGGATGTCAATTGATTACAACAGCATCATAATGAAATATAAAGACGTGTAATAGAAATAGGGGAATCTTAACAACCTCTTCCCTACTTCAGCAGAGTGGGACATAAACCTGATGTTTGTTATGTAGCTGATGCTGAGATCGCTATAATACATAAATGATCAAATGTAGACATCAAATGTAGATTGGCAATGACATTAACCAATCATGTTTATGCCCCGCGCACACAGTGGGCGGGGCATCAGCGTCCCAGTGGGACAGGCTGAGACTGATGAACCAACAAACCCAACATATTAATCAATAATGAAAATCATGAGGTGCAGCCCCCTCACTTAATATATTAATGTCCCTAACCGTGCCGGGTCTAGTCCAAAACAAAGCCCTTTCTAAACTGAATTCTGGGTTGGATTTACATGTTTTGGAAACCTCTCTTCTCTATTTTGTTTCTGTTGTTTTTGTCTATATGTCGCTTTTAACCCGTCTATGAAATCTGACGCACAAGCAGTGCTGTAAAGTTACCGGCAACATCTTTCAAATACAAAATAAATGCATTTCTTTCTTACAGTTACTAATCAAAATGTTGGGGATTGCATCAGAATGTATTCTCATAGAATATAACATTTATTCTGATGCTCTGTTTTAACTCTAATTCAAGTTAAATTGAGAAAATGTTCATTTAAGTTTGGCAGTAATCAGTAATGTTGAGATGTTTACACTGCCTGGTTTGTAGTTTTATAGCCCCGGTTACATAACTTTGTAAAAGTGAGTAAATGGTTGCATTAAGATTACTAGTAATCTGGACAACTTTTACAATAAATTGAGGTGGAATTTCCATCAAAATCATGTTTAAAACTCACCTCTGCTCCGGCACAAACGGCTCATGGCACACCACCATGTACTGGGACGCATCCACACACACACACACCAACTGTCACACACACCCCTTAATCCAGTGTCAGGCTGTCAAACAAAGACTGCTTAATCCCAGACTCCAACACTGCCCCGTACCCAGCTACAGTATGATGTGTCCATTCATAAACACACTGAAACACACACACACGCTTACTTGAAGTGAACTTGGCTCATCTTGGCGGGGGGGTCGTCTGTGCGCAGTCGATTCAACGCTCCTTTCAGTACATGGTTGATTTCCTGATGAAAAACACAAACAGTCAACATGATAATAACCACAGGGACAAATTAAGAGAGCGCTGACACTGAACAAACGGTGAAAACAAGGAGGCCCGTCGCCAATTAGCAAAACAATCTAACGCCGCCATCAATCACCTTTGCAGACGGCGAGGAGAGGGCGACCGCCGGACGCTGAGCTCGCCACTACTGTCCCTCTTACTCTGTGTACATTTCTATCTGCTCCCTCCCCCTCTCTGCATCCCTGCCCCGTGAAGGACGATGCTCTATTTTTAAGACGAAATGAAACAAACCCCGGGGGAAACGAATACAGAAAATGGAAGAGGGAGAAAGAAATGTGGGAAGACAAGAGAGAAGGACGGCGTCAAACTGTTGAGAGACGCTCAAGGACTGGGAGAGATTGCCCCCCCCCAATCGTTAAAGACAAGAGGGGTGCAATTAGGTCCTTCTGCCTTGTCACTTTCATTGTGTCACCAGCATTAATGGCTAAAAGGCTCCCGCCCACCAGCTTCGTATCAACCCCCCCACCCACCACCACACTCAACTCCCCAGTGTACCCCTATGCACACACTGGGTAAAAACATGCTTTATACCACAGCAAATATCACCTACACACATCCTCTCTGCAGAGCTGTGGTGTATTTATGGACACATATTCTTCCTTTACAAATAGTGACCCACTTATCTGGGCAGTGGGAGATTACCCCACAATGGAGCGTGTGTGTGTGTGTGTGTGTGGGCAGAAAGACGAGCTCCATTGTTGCTGTGCATCTTCCCGCAACGCCATTAGCTCCTACAGACAGCCTCCTTTAACACACACACACACACACACACACACACACACACACACACACACACACACACACACACACACACACACACACACACACACACACACACACACACACACACACACACACACACACACACACACACACACACACACACACACACACACACACACACACACACACACACACACACACACACACACACACACACACACACACACACACACACACACACACACACACACACACACACACACACACACACACACACACACACACACACACACACACACACACACACACAGCTTAGTATGAACACATGTACACACTCGTGGAAAACACACTTCCAGTTTTACAGGAATTGAGCTACTGTGTCACGTGGTACAATAACATCAAGATACATAAAAAGGCATGTCTGCTTGACTACAATTACAGTGTTATATAAGATGTAGGGAAGCACACACACATATACACACAAAAACACAAACACGTCTTTCCTCAATGCTTTCACATTAAAGGATCACGCCATAATGCCCAATCTAATCCCTTAGAGCACTCCTAAAAAACAGACGTAAAAACAGCAGCTTCCCTGTTTTGTACCATTCAGTGCTCGTATATAAAACACACAAAGAAAAAATATTAGTGCCATCCCCATCCCTGTGAATATACCAGGTTAGTGCCTTTATGTGTGTAAACTTCCAGTGATCACGTATAGTAGATCATATTAGCAGCATTGAGTGAATGTGATTATTCACATTACAGAAACTTTGTTCAGCTGACTCCTAAAACTCCTTTTAACACGTACACTTAAAAAAAACATTGTTTAACACTCTTCTCTGCTGACTCTATGTGCTTATATTACAGCTCCTATCAGCACTTTCACTTCAGCTGCTACTTATTTGAGTGTTTCAACCAAAAAATAAGAACTTTGTGAAATAATATGCATTTACATAATCTGCTTTCTTCACTGAATGATTTCAATGTGGCAGGCTTTGTAATCTCGGAACGAGTGCTATCATTTGTGAAACCTGTCTGAGAACAACTAACAGGTTGTCTGCTCTGTTATTGTTTTGCACACCGTCCTGCTATACTTCATGTGTCGTCTGTCGTTGAAGGTATGTGTGAATGACGGGGAGGTGTGCAAACGTCTGAGAGATGAGGTGTGAGTGTTAGTGTGTGTTGGATGAGTAATGAGGTGTGTGTTTCTTTCGTGTCATTCCTCTGGGTGCTGTAGTCGCCTGCTGCACGTCAGGCGCTTGAGAAATAGCGTGTGTGTAAGAAAGGTTGTTTGTATGTACACACACACTGCAGGAACACAGCTTCAGTGTGCTCGCCGCTGCTCCTTGACCTTCATCATATCCATTACATCAACCGACTGCTGTGGTCACATTCTTTCTCTTATGTTCGCTGAGAAAACACAAATCCTCAAGGGGCTAACACACACAGACACACACAGACACACACAGCATCCAGCTGCTAGCATGAGAAACACAAAACACACACTCTACAGACGGACGGGAAAACAGCTGAATTTGGTAAAGCTAGCCAAGGTGTTAGCTTTTAGAGATTTAAGTCTGACTTCCCGCTGTGTTAACATGTAGAGAGTGGTGCAGTGATGACGTATACGTGTAGGCCGACCTAGGAGTTTGCATCACAAGGGTTCCTTGACAAAAAGCAATGGGATTTTTTCGTATGATTTCGGTATATTGTAGAAAATAAGCTCTGTGGCGGGAGTAAGAAGGCTATTTCATATTTAATACTCCATAATTCCATATATTTTTGAATATATATATATATATTTGTATATATATATATATATAATATCTGCATGTATATTTTCTATTTCGACATGTATATTTTATATTTTATATTTTATTTTATTTTATTTCTATTCTTGTATATTTTGTTTTATTGTGAAATGCCTTTTATGCTGCTGTAACAAAAACAATTTCCCAATTTGGGATCAATAAAGTACGATCTATCTATCTATCTATCTAAAAAACACTAGGCTAAACACAGACCTTATTTCAGGCTTTAACCACTAAAACATTCAAAAAAACTTGGAGATAAGGATGCATTCAAATGCTTATTCATTTTTGGGTTAAAGGACTCATTCCTGCACCACTCCATTGCATCACTGCACCTAGAGGTTTTGAAAATCAGGCAGAGCGAAGGGATGCAGAAACGTAACGCTGATTAGGAAAGAGGAGAGTGATGGAGGAAAGGAAAGGAAAAGCATTCACTTCACTGCCGTTAGCAGGCAACATTAAAACGTCTCGTTTATTAGCTTCGAACACGGCAGGAAGTCCCAATCAATTAAAGGGCCGGCTGCATGTTTAGCACTGCTCAGCCTTTTGCCGGTTTCATTAGCTCTTCTGATAGAGACTCAGAGTGCGTGTGATTCAAAGACAGAGAGAAGTGGGCCAACCTTGGCCTCCACCAAAGCAGGCAGCTAAATCAATTAAAGGGGCAGGGCGCATATTTATCACTGTATCAGCCTTAATTACACTTTATTTAGCTTTCAATACCTCCAAGACGAAGAGGGACACGAGTGTGTGTAACTTGTAAGTGTGTATGAGTAAGTGTAGGAGATAAGGGTGGGGGGTTGGAGCGGAGTAGTACAGTGGATGAAGTGATAGTGTATTGATCTTTGGAAGTCCATCAGGCCCAGGACTCAATATGCCCAAGAGCTGTGACGGCCCTCCTAGCCTTTCACACACACATACACACACACACTACAACTCCTTCTTGCTCCCCTGTGTCATGTGTGGAGGAGTTTCGAGAAACATCACATGCATTGTCACCAAATGATAGAGCCGAAGTGGGTTTAAAACTTTGTAAACAGACAATGACAACATCTGCTAGTGAGCGAAACAACAACTGTGTGGGTTTAAATAAAGCTGCATCTGTCTGCCAGCACACAGATTTCTTGGTAAATCATCTATAATGAGGCTGCTCGCTCTGCTCCGTTTGTACGAGGCCCTGGAATATGTGCTGTGTCATTGTGTTTACTCGCCGCCCGCTGATTCCCGCGTTCTGCCTAGTCACCGCTGAGCTGAACGCGGCGGGGGAAACAACAGGACCCCCTTTCTCTACCTTATCTAAACACACACACACACACATGTAAGCGTGACCTCACACAGCCTCCATGCTGCCCACCACACACACCCAGAGGGACGCACACTGAGTCCTCCTTAATGGTGCTCTGTTTGGAGAAAGAAGCAGAGCACTTGAAAAGCCGACCCTCTCAAAGTGCAGCCCGGGGCGTAGAGCTGGACCACAGGAGGAACACACACTGGCTTTCCAGTCTCTACACACCAGTGAAATATTCAGATATGTTCATCTCTCCCGTGATTTCTTTACGCTCTTTTTACAGTTTTTATATATTTTATCTCTTGCTTTGGTTAAAACATGTTCCTGCTAGTTTGAACAGCAGGAGTTTATACGAAAAATAACGTGTTGTTAAATTATTCTCTGCTTTCTCTGTTCTTTTCTTGGTTAAAAAGCAATAAAAAAGGGGAAGGAAATCAGTGACTTCCTCAATTAAGAAAGACACACTGGATTAATTTCATTAAAAGCAACTTAAGCTGTCTTGCAAACTGCAAAAAAAATATATATATTAGTTGTTTTCAGTCCCCTATAAACCTTATTTTACTTTGGTAGTAGACTTACCGGTTCAGGTGACCTGTTGCTATGGTTATCAGATGGGGGCGTGGCTCTCGCCTGGTAGGGGGTCAGTGCAGAGTCACTGCTGCTCCTCACCAGCAGAGGTGTGTCTGTAGGAAAGAACATACAGTTAGATATGGAGGAAGACATGACACCGGATGCCTTATATTTAACACACTACTGCACAGAAACCATGTCATGTGTCATTTCTTAAACTCCAAATGCACTGAGGGTCATGACAGGAGGAGGAGGAGGGGAAAGGTAGAAGGAGGTGAGAGAAGAAGAAATAAAATGTTCTTCTGTCTTTTTGGCATCTTTCGCAGCGAGCAGCTGGCCTTAGCTGGGTGAGACGGACCCCTGAGGCTCTCTGTGCTCTCCAAAACACACCAAAGCGCATACAAAATTGAAAATGTGAGAGTCTGTTGGCACCTGAAAAACAAAAACAGACTCCTTATTGAGCAGAGCCAATAGGAATCCTGAAGAAAATGGACAAGATAAAAGTGGTGAAGTAACACCTTATATAAACAAATCTATCTCTGTATAAAACGTGTATTATAATAATGTCAAGATGACTCCACGATGACACAACCCTGTAGCGATACGCCCAAGCACCCACAGTGTACATTTTCATATGCCCAGCTGTTCCCCAAACACACACATTCACATGCACACACACACTTGCCACAACCCTTCCCCGCAGCCCAAATGCGCGGAGGGAGAGGTAACATGGGCAGGTCTGAACCACAACAAAGCAACTCAAAGGAATCTAATTTGGACCTTTCTGCTGCCTCTTGCTTTTAATACCCGCCCCAGACTGTTATTCGAGGATGTAAACCCGTGGCGGGGTGTTTTTCCAAATTTGACTTGACAGAGGAGAAAATAAAGACAGGGGAAAGAGAAAAAGGGGAGATAAACAGAAAGGGAAGGGGAGAGATAGTGGGGGGAAAAAGCCTCGAAAAGTGAGACGCGCAGAGAAGGGAAGGCAAACAAAATTCTCTGCTTTCCTGTAATCAATCTCTCTTTGGAGGGTCAGTGACAGGGTCCTGGTCTAACGTGGTCAGAATAGAGAGAGCAGGGGAGGAGAACATAAGGGGAAGAAGTAGTGGGCAGTGTGTGTGTGTGAGTGTGATTGCAGACAGATGAATAATGGTCATTACAACCACCCAAGACACATGTGCAAATATCCTTTATGGCTCAAATGATCTCAACATGTTGTGATTAAAAAAGATTTAATAATTAGTGATTCTGCTGTACCAGGTGTATACGGTCTCAATCCTTCTGACAGAGAAAGTTTAAAGGCATAATGCTAACTCGATAAGACTAATGCGAGGGAATTTACAGGTGTGGAAAAGCTTAAGGAATGTGTTTTCTTTGATAAGGGCTCAGATATTCCTGTGTTTTTCCTCCATCTCCCACTTTCTGATGTTGTTTTACTGAGGAAATCAACACAATGTGGTCTGATCTGATTTAGAAAAGCAGACTTCACGTTGGAAATGTTAGGCAGAAAACAGCATAGATGATTTGCAATTGTGAAATTTGCTTTGATTTAAACACAATAGCAGAAATAATAAAAGGTATCTTCTAAAAGGCTGGAGAAAAACACAGAAAAGACATCACATAGCGCTGCAACACATCAATTGCTTCTGATTTCTCCATCTGATTAACTTAAATTAAAATCTATAATACTAACACACTATTTTTTAAATATTTTTTTAACCCTGTATTTGTACGCAAATGCTCAGGAAGCACTCTCGCCACTTCTTTCAGACCCACACATGCAACCGTTTACAAGTTCAAAGGGGCCGTGTATAGAAAGCAGTAAAACTTAATGGATGGTTCTCCGCTCTGTGTCCACCTGTCCAAAGCCTTCATGGGAAGTGAATACAGATAAGAATACACATGTACTCCGAACAGCATGTATCAGGTTTTCAAACATGTGCTTTAAAGTGGTCTGCTGAGGTTTAAATAAAGAACTTTCCCACAATATGGGAGAAAAGTTGACACCTATCCTACAGAGTGATGCATTGCAGGACATTAAATCAAACTGCAAGGATGCTAGGTACATTAGGAACCAGAATACCTGCAAGGCCAGCCTCTTTAAAGACACTCAATGATAAACTTCTAAAGTGGCTATAATGGAGTTTACAAGTCTGCAAATAAGGCCTGAAGTTGTGACACCCTGCATACTTCACCACAATGTCAATGATGCAACTTTCCCAAGTGACCAAGGCCGCTCCATGGTCACAGTCAGGCTCCATTACCCAGCGGCCAGCCCCATAAATCCTCCTCCATTTATCCATCGGAGTCAAACCCGCCTCCATCAATCCTCCCACCACTTGGAGCCCCGTGTGAAGGAACCTGAGGGTCACCGGCTTTCACCTTTAACCTGTGCCGACCCCTCGGAGGGTCAAACGGTGTCACAGAGGGTCAGGGATATTGATGAGCGTGACAGTTTTAACTCTCTTGGGTCAGCCACTGTTTGGCCGGGTATAAACAAGTCTGGGAAAGAGACATTACTAATCAAAGGTGACTGGCCTGGTGCTAACAGGCTTTTAGCGTGGGTTCATATTTACTTAAAATGTACCCTTTTTACTTCCCTGAGAAAAAGGAATATTTATTTACACTGAACCAGCTTGTATTATTACATACATATACACAATGTACTGTAAGTGTGTCTGGCATACTAGAAATATCCTTGGCTAAGATTAGCTCTCGTGAAACTGACATCCTAAGGCTTTGAAACCTTAAGGTCAGAGTAACTTGATGAAAACCCGTGTGAGGTAGCAACAGCCTCAAGCACACGCTGCTTTAACATCTAATTTTCTCATGATAAAAACAGAATTTACTCAATGAATATCATGATCGAATGAAAAAAAAACGAAATCATAACGTGATGGGTAGAGACTTGGTATTAAAGCAGCTGTCTGGCATCTGGAGCTCTCAGTAGCTGAACATCATTCATGCCCTGTGTGAGCAGACATTTAGATTTATTTTAAGATCACAGACATTTTCTGACATGCACTCTCCTGCCAAAATGGCGAAGAAGAGGTGGAGGCACTACAACTTTGGATGTATTTTAGGTGTGCTAATTTGACACTGACAACCACAAGGTACCCTGCGTCACCAGCAACACTAATCAGAAGGACCACTTCTGGGCCAGAGAAAGAAACACCTTGAAACACACACACACACACGTCATGTACCTCCCTTATCTTCCCTTGGAGACTCATGTAGCTGGAGAGACCCTGAAGAGGCCGTCTGAACTTCCACTTCTGTGTTTATCTGCCTCCGACTCATCACCTAACTAGACTGCTTATGCAATTTTTTTGAACACTGAGGTTTATTTTAAGAATTTCCTCTTGTTTTCAGATCTGTGAGAGTTCTGCAGAGCTAGTTCAAAGCTGGGGCGGGATGAAAACAAGGGTGCATCATGTTTCTCTCTGACTGTGTCTGAGCGTGTGTGAGTGTGTGTGTGTGTGTGTGAGTGTGTGTCTGTGCACATGTTAATCAGTGTGAGTGCCTTTGTTTGCCATTGAGTTTGCATGAGCAAGCATGCGTGTATGGCGTCTGTGTACTCTTTATATTTATATTTGTCTGCAGTTGTGTAGTGTGTGTGTGTGTGTGTGTGTGTGTGTGTGTGTGTGTGTGTGTGTGTGTGTGTTTTCATGCCACGGGCCAGGGTGGTCTTGTTTCTCTCCCAATCGATAAAGCCAGGCTCAGGCTGCTCATGGGATGATGCGATAAGGAGTCTCTTCCTAGAAGTGTGTGTGTGTGTGTGTGTGTGTGTGTGTGTGTGTGTGTGTGTGTGTGTGTGTGTGTGTGTGTGTGTGTGTGTGTGTGTGTGTGTGTGTGTGTGTGTGGGTGTGTGTATATGTGTGTGTGTGTGTGTGTAGCAGCGGATCAATGCAGGTCTAATCATCCCACTGGGGCAGTGTGAAGGCCGATCGCCCAGTACAAACAGCAGTCCAGCGTGCCACACAAACACTTTGATGCCTGACTGATTACTGAATTACGTTGTGTTCTGTCCGCCACCACTCACTGCGATTACATGCACACTATAACCAGATTATTGGGAGCAATCAGATTAAAGTGATAGTGTGATTAAAGCATTCACATGGTTTGCGGTGACCCAATTTTTCCCAGAAACCCCAGTTTACATGATTCGTCGATAAATAGGTTAATGTCTGGGAGGATGTTGTCGCCTACATCTTATGATCCCACAGCTGCTAGCCCCATTCTGTTTTTGGGCTCATAAGCACAATAAATATATGATAATGCCACAGCTTGCTATGTTAACTCTAATTTGACAATGACAACCCACTTCAAGTCTTTACATACTGTACATGACAGCCTGCATTGCTTTTATCTAATCTTGTTTAACGCTTTGAACGTTTTTCCCTCCCTTTTGAAGCGGCTAATAGAACAGTCGCTACATGTCTTAGCTTAACATGCAGTTCATTGTCATTTCCATGCAACGCTAGGCATGCCGCTGTAGGTAGACATTTTTAAGGAGAGATTTTACTGTTGGAATATGCCATGGATATGCTTTGCTGATAGGACTTTATATTGACATACTGAATATACCTAATGGATTATTTTTGATACTGACAATCAAGTGTAATGTGTTTTAGTCATACAAGATCTAACAGGTATCAAAAGGAATATTAAACAACAATACTTCAAGATAAACTAAATTATTTTTGCAGCAATCCTAAATAACGAGATGTCTTTCCTTTTCTATTTGATTTCATAAATAACAGAATATTTCTGCTTTTGGACTGACAATATAAGACATTATTAAACAACATCGTTGGACTGTGAGAAACTGGGAAGCACATATACTGTTATTAGACATTTTATAGACCATAAATAATTGTTGGTTTCAGCACTACAGTATAAATATAATTCCAAAGCAAATATTAAATGTGTGTAACACCCAGTTGACAACTCATCTTGTAACAGCAAAAGGGACAGCTCACACAATCACAGTGACACACACAGACACACACTCCCCTGAGACCTTCTCAGAAGTGGATGGCTGACCGGTTTTGGGGCTGTTTAACTCCCAAAAGCATGCTGGGATTCTTTTGTCGAATCCTGCGTGTGTGTGTGTGTGTGTGTGTGTGTGTGTGTGTGTGTGTGTGTGTGTGTGTCCGGATGACAAAAGGCTGTCTTATTGCATGAGTCTGGCTCTGTATGCGGGGCGTCACAGGGTCACATCATAACCAAGTTAGTCAGGGTTCAACAGGGCTGCAGAGCTGAGTGGAGGCAGGAAGAGGTCCCGCCGGGTTAAAGGAAGGGTGGGGGGGGGGCTGAATTAGTCCATTCATGCTCGGCTGGCATGCTAACAGGCTACAGTGCTAATCTAGTTAGAGGTGGAAGCCATGCAGAGACAGGGCGGAGACGGAGAAGGTATGGGGTGGGGGGGGTCAGGGTCTAGAGGGCTGGATGGCAGGTGGTTGAAGCTGAATAGTAGAGTAGGCAGAAAATGACTGCGTGGAGTGGAGGGGGGGGCAGATGATGGGGCAGAGGGCAAATGCGGGCAGAGGGAGAGGGGTGGCAAAGGGCAGGTGTGTGTATGTGTGTGGTGGTGTCACACTGTTATTCTATAGCCGACAGATGGAGAGAGGGGAAATGAAAGGGGGTCCAGTGATTAGACAGACCCATCCCGGCTAATGTAATCTTTCATCTCAACCCCCTGGCATTCAAGAATCAATGCAAGCACTGAAATAGTAAATAATGATATGTACAGAAAGGAGTCATGCTCTTCTTGAGATTATTTACAGTAATATGTATCCATAGCCAGAACTAAATGCAGCCCAGACAGAGCAGACTTTTCCCCAGAGGCTCCCTCAGGCTTCCAGTCTTGTGATGATGTTTCCCACTGGAGACGCACCATGACCCAATAACTTGTTCACTTTATTTTCTGACTGCTAAAAACAAGTATAACTGCCATTCCTTGTTCGTTTTGAAGCTGTATTTGTATATAGTCGTGTGCACTGTTAAAGTGTCATTCTCACTTGTGTTTTAGTATCTGCTTTATGGGAGTGACCTTCATCAACTCACTGAATATTTGTACAACAGGAGGCGTAGAATAAGAGTTGTTTTTGAGAAACATGCCCTGAATAGGTTTGGTTGTACCATCAAATGACAACAACAGATATTTAGCATGTGAGGAGCAGAATCGGAGCATATCCATCAACTTAATGGTGCACGGAGAGACGTTTTTGTCAGGATGGGAAGATAAAAGCGCAGAAAATTCTAAATGAAGGAGCTTCGTGTCTCTTAATAATATCATGTTTTTTAGTCAACTACATTTAAAGACTCTACTGGGACATGTCAGGTTCAAAAAGCTCTTTATTTTTCTCATACTGTCTGTGCTGCAGCACCTCCTTTCACCCTCTGTCTGAAACCAGAGCCCAGTCTGCTCTGATTGGTTAGCTGGCCGGCTCTGTTGTGAATGGTCAACCTCTTAGAGATATTCCGCTCCTTAGCCTATCAGTTGGCAGACCATTTACATGCACTAAAACTTATTAAAGTCTTACATAGACATTTAACACTTTTCATTCCTTAATAGTCGATATATAAAACATTTCCAGAAGTGCCGCATTTGTGTCTCTCAGTCTGAACAAAGTGTGAAAATATGAACAAAATATGAAGAGTGCGGACGGCGGGAGAGAACGCTGCGTCAACACTGCATCTGTTTTCACACGCAATCAAGTTACAGTAACAAAAGAAAAACTCAATTTTTTACTCAGCAGGTTCAGCTCACAGCTGTTCCATAAATGTATTTCTAACATTTTCTCTCACACAGTCACACGCCTACACACACCTCCCTCCGTCTCCCCGCGATGCACTTTCTCACATGCACAAAGAAATGTGTTGATTGTGTTGTGCAGAAACTTCTGTTACATTTAGAAACTAGGTATTTTCATGAGATGAATTTGGAAATGTTATGTTTCGACTTACTGGCTTTGAGGCTGGCCTCGTTGACTTCTATCTCCGCTCTCATTGGCTCCTGGTACTCAAGGTGGGGAAAGTAGAACTGGGGTTCAGGGCTGGGGGCGGCGCTGGAGTATCCGTTGGACAGGGTCTCTCTGGGGCTTTCCGTCCTCCCGCGCTGGACTTCGAACACCGCTAAAAGCTGGATAGGAGACACAGAGTCAGACAGCGGCCTAAATATTATAGGTTTCTCAACATAATGTGCAAGCTTTCTTCGAGATGACAATCAAACAATGGGAACTCTGGCAGGAGAACAAGCTAGCAACACGCAGCCAGGTTATATAGCGTCTCCACTGTGCCACCATCACAGAGAGGCTTTTATGTGATTTATCTTGCCAACAGCGGGGTAGCAACCTGCTCCATCCTGCCAAGTGTGAGGATGTGTGTGTGCTGGATTCACAGCTCATCAGAACCTCTTATAATCAGTTGCCACAATAACTTTCTTCGTTTAATATTCCAAAAATCTGACCGGCTCAGAGGAGTTATCACACGAGGCGAGGCGAGGTGTATGAAATTACCAGTGAAATGAGATCCGACACGAGAATGAGAAGCTGTCAAACACAATGACACGGCTGCCACAATGAGACGGGGGGGGGCGCCAAATGAACACGGGACGGAGGGCAGAGGAACGACAAACAACCCTAATTGAGACAGGGACATGATGGCAGATAGGGCGAAGGGGAGTGTGTGCGTGTGCGTGTGTGTGTGTGTGTGGACTTCAGGGCCGTGCTATCGCGGTTTGATAAATGGGCGCGTGGCGGTGTGACGCTCTCATTAGAAGGAAGGAAATGACCACTTAATGAAAAGCAATAACCGCGATGGAACGAGGGATGGAAATAAAACAATAGACGGGTGGAGGACGTCGATTAACAACAAGAGGCGCGCAGAGGCCGTGTGTGTGAGTGTTTAAAAAAGTGTGTAAACAATAAGCAAAGAGGAGGCGACAAATATGTATCATCCATCACGCCGAGACGCCGCCTCTCACCCGCCTGTGATTCAATATCCTCATCTGGTCGACGCCATGCAAAGGAGATTCTTTTTCTGCATTTGTGTGAGCATTAGAGAGTACAAGGATGAGGGATCGAGGCGCTGGCGGATGCAGGGAAGAGAGAGAAAGAGAAAAACAATCTGATTGGCCGCTTGATGGATGCTTCTTGAGCTAGTTCTCTCTTCTTTATCTGCTTTCCTCTTTCTCTCCTTATCTCCTTCCCGTCCCGAGCCTCCGTCTCTTTCTCCAAACTCGCTGACAGCATCAATCAAAGAAGAAGAAGAAGAAGAAGAAGACTCGGGGCGTAATGTGATTTGCGCGCACGCTACGAGCACGGACGGAAACACAGCAATGAGCTACTCCAAAAAAAACTTTTACGATTTATTCGTTCTGAACAACAACAACTTCTTTTAATGTGTGGAGGGGTGATGATGATGATTTGCTTTCTGGGAGTTTATTTTTTTTATGGCTGACACAGGCGGGGAGTGATGCAAATGAAGGCCGCCTTGCTGCTTCCACTCATCACTCAATCAAACACAAAGTATCAACAGAATGAATCATGCATCGCTTGATTTGGAGCAAGCTGAAGAACAGAAAAAAAAAGGCACTTTATTTCAGTCGGGATGAAGACTTCTCATTTTCAATTCAGTCAAAAATCTTCCTAGTCAAAGATCTAACAAATAAAAAACTGTTAACTAATTCTTTAAATGCTAACTGTTAAAAAGACTAAAAAAGGGTGCTCAAATATCTGACAGCTGATTGGTTGAGGGTCGAACAGAGGTGAGAGAAAGCGTATCAGTGGGTTAAAACGCTGACGGCAAACCATCACTGATTCAGCAAACACACACTTTCTGACAAGCTGTACACTGAATCCTAATCATCCTACACAAGTAAAGAGAAGAACATGAAATGGTTCAATGGTAAAAGTATATAATTTACCAATCTAACACAGCATATATGTGCATGGCTAGAAATCACTAGGGGCAGGGGTGGATTATGAGACAATGGGCCCCTGGGCACAGACATGCAAACAGCCCCATTACGTAAGAACTAGACACACTGACACTTTAGGCCCCTGAGCCGGTTAGGCCTGTATTATAATCTGTGTATAATTTAGGGTTTAAGAGAATAAAATGCTTTGTTTAAATTGTAAATTGAGTTCCTTTAATATTACAAGATTTGCCCCCTGTTGTTTCACAATATCTTGGCGCATGTACTACGAGAGAAGCTGATTCCATTCTCTCACTACAGATTAAATGTGAGCTATCAGCCGCTCACAGCATGAGAGGAAACTTGGGAGAAGCTTTTATTTCAAAAAGGTTTAAGATTCAGTCCTTCACACACAGCTCCAACATGCTCTTTTGGAGGACCCCGCGCCCCAGGATGAAGAAAACAACCGGCTCCTGGTGTGTTTACTGAACACACCTTTTTCCCCTCATCCCTCCTGACCGTGATTAGTATTCTAGGAAACAAATCGCCTTATTTTTCCTGCTGCGTCTGCGGGGGGGGGATATTGATATGGACCTGGAGAGCCTGCATGTCAACCACTGCTGAATAATGTGACCCCTTTGTCTCATTTACATACGACACACACACACACTCACAAACACACACTGATACCTGAGCCAAATACAAATGGCTGGAGCCTTCATATTGTCATGTTACGATCGTCTGTAAATCACAACGCAGCGTGTGTATCCAACGTGACCAGACTAGCTGGGGAAGACTGTGTGTGTAAATGTGTGTGTGTGTATATATGTGTGTGTGGAGCCAAGCGATTATCATGACACACATGAAAGCCATATACAATAACACGCGTGAAGCAGAGAGCGAGATAAACACTGCGTCTGTGTGGACTCTCGCGCACACACACTGCCTAGGGCGCAGGGTTATAAACTGTTGGAATAAATGTGGCCTGAGGGGGACAAATGCAGTCTTATTTTACTCGATTTCATAGAAAGGCAAGCGTACACCCACCCACACATATCCTGTAATACTAGAACAAATTATTATGTTGGTTTATTTATTAACTGATGCTCCTATTCACAACGAAAGTGGTTTTACAATGAAGCCGTGAGAATTGATTTGTGTACTTTTCTACTGTAGCAGACTTTGAGTATATTTAAATTAATTTGCCGTAATAGTTGTTAACCTAATTTCCAAGTATGCATCTCAGAAGCAATCTCGTTACCATGGATGTAAATAATGCAGGATATAAAATAAGGGCTCCACTCTGCCTGATGAATGCTACAGATGTGCCTTCAAAATACTGAAGGGACACGTTCAACAGTATTATGTTCAAGATAAAGTAGTCCCTGGTTGATACTGTAATATTTTTCCAGATGTTGAATTCATTCTTAAGGGGGCCTTTCCCTAACAACTCCAAGACAACTGAGCAACCTGTCTCCCTTGAGGAAGATCGGAGAAGTGGTTAAATCTGGAAAAAGCTTTTTGATGGAATGGATTTTCACAGTGTAGTAATGTTAGTATGAGTAACACCTGGGATAAAAAGGTTGTTATGTGAGGCGAAACACCATCACACAGCAAAATGAACCCACAGCAGGTTACTTCTCAGATGCTTTTCAACAGTATCAAAGTGTTTCATGATGTAAAATCTGTGACTTGATCATAATCTCCTCACTGCCTTAGAGAAACTGTATAAAGCCATTGTTTACATGCCATGTTTGCCCTTATAATGCTAAATTAGCTGTTAGCTAGCCCAACCATACATGTCTAATAACAGAGCTAACAGATGACGATTGTATTGAGTCACATAATAAGATTTTACAAGTTTTATTCATAGAAAATTAGTATTAGTATTGTTCAAATTAATGTTCTTAAGATTTCGTTTTTTACAATTACACATATTAATACAGTTGTTTGTGATGTAACGTTTAGTTTTTTACATTGTTATCCAACTGTATTCAATATATATTAACCCTGCTGCTTTTTTTGTTTGTTTTAACTTGTGGGATTTACCATGTTTTGTCTAAAGTGTAGGTTTTGGTATTGTATAGTCTTGTGACGGTTGTGAATGAAAACATAAAAAATGGTATAGATATTATTACTGATAAGTAAATGTTCTGGTATTGTGACATCCCTACACAGCAGGGAGTTGAGAAATGACCTCATGGTGTGAGTTTCCATACTCCTGAGATGTAACCAAGCCTGACCTTTGACCTCTTCTTTATGAGATCGTAAGAGGAAAAACATATTTCTATACTGTGATCAATAAAACGTACACATTATTATGAACACTTATTACTGAGATTGCTCTCGCACAGGCTGTGAGAGCCAATCAGACGCAGAGCTTACATGCATTATAGTTCTTGAATGTCCAATAAGCAGGAAATGAAATTATCCGCGCTGCTGTAAACAATAAATGGTGTTTACATGTTGCAACTCACAGATGGAACAGTTGAGTGTCTTTAATAATTGATGTACTTGCTAAGAATTAATTAGCCAAATGAAGCATGTCCTGCATGGGATACACTCGGGAGAAAGTAGTACGTTCAGCATGGACACACACACGCATATATATATATTTATATATCCAATCAGGGATGTTCACGCACTGTATAATGCCATTATTTAAAGATACACACGACAAAAAAAACACAAATGGATTTGACAGTAAGTGGAAACAATCTCATACTTTACACAGTAAGAGGATGAACAGTGCCACCTTGCTTTAGTCTAACACAACTGCATGCTGGGAACACTCAAGCCTCAAGTCTTTACATAAGCATCAGCAACACACACACACACACAAAACTCACAAACACACACTTCCTCATTTCATCCGCTGTTACTAATCAACCCATTTTTCTTCTCTTCTCTCATCGCTGTCTAGAACGGCTGTGTGTGCGTGTGCGTGTGCGTGTGTGTGTGTGTGTGTGTGTGTGTAGCAGTCTATTGAGATGCTCTGCTTTTCTGCTGTTGTCATTTATCTTACGACTGCCCCCCCCCCCATCCTCCGTTTTCTCCCTCTCACGTTATTCTTCATTCTTTCTTTGAACGAGAGATGCATAATTCAGAAGGAGTGCGCAGAATCCTGACAGTAGTCTGGTAACCCAATCATCACACACACACACACACACAGGCCCTCATATATACAGTACACACACACAGCTTCTGACTCACCCTTTCTTTAT